CTATCTATCTATCCATATATCCATCTATCTATCTATCTATCTATCTATCTATCTATCTATCTATCTATCTATCTATCTATCTATCTATCTATCTATCTATCTATCTATCTATCTATCTATCTATCTATCTATCTATCTATCTATCTATCTATCTATCAATAAACTTAATTATTACGTTTTTATGACAAATGTAAACATTTTCTAAACTCATGGCTCAACATAAATAATAATGTAAAAATAAATCAATAATATGCAAAAATTAAGTTATTTTTTCAAATCTTTCTTTTTGGTGAATCATGGTATCTGCACCACCAGGATCTATTTAAACGTAATTAATATAAGTTTTTAATGACAAATCTACTCCTATTCTGAGCCCCAACATAAACAATAAAGCAAGACAAATATTATGCTTTTTTTTTTACGTCTCAGTTAACTTAGGATCGTATACCTGTGTTTAGTCTAGAAAAAGGTAAATGTGTGCATTTTATTATAAAATTGTGTATATTTACAGACTGTTGGAAAAACTAAGAAGCTTATAAACATCAGGTTTAAAACTAAAAGAGCTTTGCAAAAACAATTAATTAAAGATGTTTGGAGTTTTATTTTAGTCATTAATTGTATGTTTGTGTGTATGTGTTGTATCTATGAGATGCTGATTTGAAACCGTTGTTACATACAGTTACGGTGTAGGTACCATATGTGTTCGGCCTACCAGATGTGTTCGGGGTCCGTTACGCTTACCAATGACGTCACGCATTGGCTGTACGGTAACCCAAGAGGACATTTTACACGGTCAAATTCCGAATGTATTGAAACTCCAGACTCAACGTAAGAGCTTGAGCCTCTTCGGGGGGTGCTAACATTTAAACATACACTTCATTCTTTACTTTGTCCGTTATTATATGTAGAAGATATTACTTTTTTCTCCGTCATGTTGTTTCCATAGCAACAACTTCAAAATAAAAGCATCTAAATAGATGTGTGTTCTACACACCAAAATACGTTATTTGAACACCCCTCTCGATCGATTTACAAGAAAAATTAGTATGGCCCGCCCTAATACACCAACGCAGTTTTTAAAGATATACATTTTTCAACACAGAATCATTTGCCAAATTACACCATATCCAATCATTTTACGAGTCAGAAAATGCTATCTGTTCATTGCAGTTATTGTTTATTGAATTAGATTACCATGAGCTCAACATAATTATGTAGAGTACAAGTCCACAGCCAAGAAAATGTTATTTGCATATCATTTTATTTATGAATATGGAATTATGGAATTCTAACACTGGAATTTGTTATTATTTACTATAACTTTATTATATTATTCGGGTACAGCCCTACTGTACCAAAATATCCGAATATTCGTTCGTTGGAGTACTATTCGGGTTTCAATTTCGTTATTCAGATATTCGTTTTTGTTTTTTTTCCCCGTTTTTTTTTTCAAATTGAATTTATTGAAATCTCCAATATCAACGTAAGAGCTTGTGCCTCTTCGGGGGGTGCTAACACTTAACCATAAACGTTATCGTTTACTTTCTCCGTCTTTATATGTAGATATTACTTTTCTCCGTTAATCTCTGTCACGTTGTTTCCAAAGCAACAACAACTTCCTGTCAACTGCGCTAACTCTCCTTCAAAATAAAAGCATGTCCATAAATAGGACATGCCAAATTACACTTAACACATAGCCTATACAACTGCAACGAATGTAACAAACACAATGCGATATCCTTTTCAATTTCAAAGAACACAAATTGGGTTACATTAACAAATAACTATAAAACAATAATACTGTAGAATAACAAAATGAATGCCGTGAATACACTGAAATACACGTGTTGAAGCGGTTCGCTGCTGATTACTACGATTCCGTACAGCCAATCACAATGGGTGACGTCATTGGTAAGCGACGGACCCCGAACCAAGCCCCCAGGAAGTGCGCCGGACTCTGATGAAAATATTCGTGCTGGCCAAACGGCGGTACTACACTTCCTTTTGGTTGCCAGGCCCGGAAACACTTTTTCCCATTGACTTACATGGGGAAAGAGTGGTCTGTAAATCGTTGGATAATTTTTTTTAAACTAAATAAACTACCCAGTATGAACACTTGTATAGCCCTTATTAAAAACATTCGTTCCTCAAGTTGTAAAATGTGCTAATAACGTTATTCTGAGAGTTATTTCCCTCTGCATTATGAACGCGCATCTAACCCACGGGACCGCGCCGCCCGGCACGTTCATGTTACGTGTTCAGCACTACATGAGTTTATCTTTACCCATGGATGCACAATAAGAACGGACCCATATCGCCTTACTGCCAGCCCACGGAGCTGTAATAATGGATATATTGCACATGTTTGCTGTAATTCATCATTTGTAAAATATTATACTACATGGGCTGTATGATTAAATCTTGTACCGTAAATGTTGTATTAAATAAAGTTAATATTACCGACGTAGATTAACGTCCCTGTAGCTTCTTATTGCACTAAGAAGCTTATTGCACTGTGTGTGTATGTGTGTATATATATATATATATATATATATATATATATATATATATATATATATATATATATATATATATATATACAGTGCAATAATTATTTCATGCTAAATGAAGCTCTGTTGCTTGGATATCACTAGATCCTGTTACAGCGTAATATAAAAGTACATAACGATTGATGTGTAAATTAGCATAATTACTAGCTACCCGCTAGCTGCTAACTGCAGCCTCGTTAATATCAAATCTATCATAACAAACATTACCATGCTGTCATGAACGTGCGGTGCTGTTACGTGTACGCAAATTGACGTGCTTGATGTGAACGAGCATTTTGGGGGGCATGGTTAAAGTTGCGCATGCGCTATGAGCGCACATACGGGTACTTCTCAGGCATGCCGGGTAATCTGTGACGTTTCGCTCTCTCAAAAGTTGGGCCATTTTATCATCATGCGCGAATGAGCAACTCTCATAGGAATGAATGAGGCCCCGCCTCCCACGCTGTATCCAGTTCTTATTATACATCCATGCCCCGAACACATATGGTAGGGCGAACACATATGGTACTGACAACGGCATTTCCTGTTTCTGCCGGAGAGAGGGGAGTTTGTCCCAAAGCCTGCCGCTGTATTTACTCCCTCCATCTGACAGGAGGGAGCCTCGTTGAGCTGAGAGTCACTCCACGGAGTTCACTACGTCACGGAGGGGGAGTGTGTAGGGGGAGTGTGTAGGGGGAGTGTGTAGGGGGAGGGATCGACAAAATAACGCGGCAAACTGAAGGAAAGTAAGCCCGAGACTCCGACCACACTTTTCGGTTCTCCTCAGCCTACAGACAGCTTTCAACATGTGGACTACTCTCACCATTTCTCTCAGGTAATAATCTTACTGATACTTTCATTTTATTATATATATTATTATATTTTATAAACCCAAGTTGGGGGAATAATATTGAAGAAGATGTAGTTCATTATTTAATTCATGATTTTAGGAGGGCTCGTGTATTCTCTGCAGGAAACCTTAATATCTGTGCTTGTTGAACTCAGAGACTACAGGTTGAACTGCAGGGAGACTAACATGTAATGCTCAATACTCTTTAATTCAGGATCCTATAGTTGACATGTAACCATTGCAGTTATTTTACTCAAGATTTGAGTACTTCTACTTTTACTCAAGTACAACATCTGAGTACTTCTACTTTTACTCAAGTACAACATCTGAGTACTTTTACTCAAGGTCTGAGTACTTCTACTTTTACTCAAATACAAGATCTGAGTACTTTTACTCAAGATCTGAGTACTTCTACTTTTACTCAAGTACAAGATCTGAGTACTTTTACTCAAGATGCGAGTACTTCTACTTTTACTCAAGTACAAGATCAGAGTACTTCTCCCACCTCTAATGAAACGCTTGAGCTGAATTGATGTTCTAACATCACTACAGTTTATGACGGATAAATGTTGAAACTAAAGCTTTTATTTTGAAGAATGTAAAAGGAGGTTCTGGATAAGCCGAGACTTCCGATTCTCCCGCGAGGGTTTGTTTCCCCGCGAGGTTTTGTTTCTCCTCTCAAATCCTTTGCGGGAGAAACTCACGCCTCATTCAGACCAGAAATACCCGTTTATACCTTTGTTACTTAAAGTTGTCGCTGTATTGATCTAATAATGATCGAGCAGATGCTTACTCTCCCGACTCTATTACATCTTGTCGTGGGTAAGTTAATTTATAAAGTTATATGTCAACTCTAGTGTAGGTGGTGCGGTAGCGCGTGCATTGGCTTGTTGTTATTTACCTAAAACGTGTTATTGTGAGGTTATAAACCTGACATTGACAGTATGCGCTCTGTTCAAGTGTTTAATGTACTACGTTGAACTTAAGAATCGACCATAGCTTATATATATATATAAGTTGTTCACGTTGGTCAGAGACAAAATGGGTAATGACAGTCGCATTACTGTCTATTTTTTACTTGGTATGATGGATATAGTTGATTTTTTTTAATGACACGCAGTGGTGTAAAGTACATTTACTGAAGTACTGTACTTTACTACAATGTATATGTATTGTACTTGAGTATTTCCTTTTTTGCAACTTCTACTCCACTTCAGTTCAGAGGTAAATGGTGTACTTTTCCTCCACTACATGTATTTAATACCTTTAGTTACTTTACAGATGTGGATGAATGATGTGAAATATAATCAAGTGTTAAATCAGACTTTAGTTCCACCTGGAGTAAATTCACAAGCTACCCTGCAGTATACAAAGTCATTCAAACTAGCTGCACCTTTACCAGCTTTTATAAACACAGTATTAGTTAGTAGTTTTAGATGTATTTATTTTTTGAAATAAAACTACTTGTACCACATGCTTAGATAACGCTCTAGTCTACTAAAGTAAAAGTCGTGCATTCATAACAAGATGACAGCCGTAATGTTTGCCCGGAAGTGACGTATTCCCGCGGAGTTTAAAGCAGAGCAGAGCATAGCATAGCATAGCATAGCTTTAAGTCCAGCTCACCGGCGACACGGTTTTATTATATCTTCTTTTGAATTTGAGTTAAGGCGATATCGGTGTAATAATGATCAGGAAGCTGCTCATTGCACAGACTATGTTCATTTTGGCTGCCGTCGGTAAGTTAAACTACAAAGTTAGATGTCAACACGTTAAAGCTACACGGTCTGCACGAGTGTGTAGTTATTTACAATATAACGTGTTAGTACTATGTTATTGTACTGACATCTGTACTGTTTTCTCTATTTAAAGGTTACAGGTACAACTTTGAACTTAAGTTTTGAACTCACGTGTTTGTCCGACAATGGGCCTACTATCGCTGTTATGCTTTTAATGCTGGATACCGATTAATCTTCATCATGAAAATATTGTATTTGAGCTTTTAAATCCAGCTTAGAGTTGTCATGTTTGATCTTTTTGTTAAGTACTCAGATCTTGGACTTGAGTAAAAGTAGAAGTACTCAGATCTTGTACTTGAGTAAAAGTAGAAGTACCAGAGTGTAGGAATACTCTGTTACAGTAAAAGTCCTGCATTCAAAATGTTCCTCAAGTAAAAGTAGAAAAGTATTCTCATCAAAATATAGTTAAAGTACCGACAGTAAAAGTAGTCATTGTGCAGATTGGTCCATTTCAGAATAATATGATATGTTTTATAATGATTGATCATGAAAGTGTTCTCAAAGCTGGTAAAGGTGCAGCTAGTTTGAATGACTTTGTATACTGCAGGGTAGCTTGTGAATTTACTCCAGGTGGAACTAAAGTCTGATTTAACACTTGATTATATTTCACATCATTCATCCACATCTGTAAAGTAACTACAGGTAATCAATACATGTAGTGGAGTAAAAGTACACCATGTACCTCTGAACTGTAGTGGAGTAGAAGTACAAAGTAGCAAAACATTGAAATACTTAAATAAAGTACAAGTATCTCAAAATTGTACCCAAGTATAGTACTTGAGTTTATGAACTTAGTTACTTTACACCACTGGCTATAAAGATAGAAAGACTAAGCCTTGCACAGAAAACATGAAAATACATTTTCAAAATGCTCAACAGTCCTGCCAACATTATAAACTGACTGCTACACAATTAAAATAAATGCTTTTATACATTTCTATTAGATGTGACTCTTTGGCGTTTCTGTTATTAACTGCTTTAGTTGATCCTCTGTTATTCCTCATTTTAAAGCCGATATTCCGTGGGGTCGGGGGGCTCGGATCCTTGTCACCTTTTTCATACCTGATGAGTTTGCATCCCTGTGGAGTATAAAGTAGCACCAAATGAAAAAGTACAAGTACCCCAAAATCATACTTGTATGCAGTACTCGAGCAACTACATTACACCACAAAGGATCAGTGGTTCATGCGTTGTTGCAATACAACAATAACACAATTATGATCAGAGTTGAATCAACATCGTCAGACATTTTGTTTTACTCGGAAGCATCACCAATGTCGTATTAGCTTTAGTGATGTTGGACACTATTTTATAATTACTCAGTTATCCACTCTGTGTGTTCATTATATGAGCAGTCATGACATGGTGCTTTTAGAAAAAAAAATACACAATGATGTTTATGATTAATAATCTCTTTAAAAAAAAGGTGAATAATGACATTTAAAAAATGCTTTTCTTCACGTGCTTTAAAACGTATTAATGTATTTATTTGTAATAAAAAATAAAGGAAATTCATTATTATTTCAGAGTTATCAAGGAAAAAAACATTTCTAGGTTACTCTCCCTTAGTTACATTTTATAACTTTTTCCTCATAAAACTAAAGTGGAATTTTGTAAACAAATATTCAAAAGGTAATTCTGAAACTAAATATTTGGTAGTGATGATGTGGTCAGGAAATGTATCTCCGTGAATGTGGAAGATAATATGGATGTATAATTTTACTGCAGTTTTTTTACTTGAGTTTTTGTTTTCTAAGGAGAGCGTCTGTTTTTAACATGGTTCAATCTCAATGATTTAAAAAGGATAGCTTTTCTTTTAAAACTGTTTCTTTCTTTCTTTTTACCCAGGACAACCTGCATGTCGTCCCTCTCAGCCTGTCGAGGCCGTGGAGGGAGGATCTGCAACTGTTCAGTGTCGTCTGGTCAACCACACCGACCTGTCCTCTACAACAGTGGAATGGAATAGAGGGCTCACCCGCCAAGTTCATGTTTATCGAAGTCAACGCGACGACCCAGATTCCCAGATGCTTGAGTACAGAGACAGAACCACTCTGAATCATGTAGACCTGACCAGAGGAGTCGTGACTCTGACCATCTCCAACGTATCTCTGTCTAACAATGGATCTTATGAAGTCTATCTCCCACAGCTGGAGGTCAGATGTTCGACTCTCCTCACCGTCGGTAAGAGTTTAATACTGAACAGCCTAGAAGCTCTGAGAGGCAAAACAATTGCCAGCATATCAGCATCTTTTGATAACAACCAACAAACCCCACAAAACTCAATGCCCACAATAACACAATTATGATCAGAGTTTAATCAACATCACAAAATAACTTTTACTTGGAAGCATCACCAATATTTTATTAGCTTTAGTGATGTTAGACACTATTGTATAATTACTTGGGGCAGTTATCCACTGTGTGTGTTCATTATATGAGCAGTCATGACATGGTGCTTTTTTTTAAAGTCATGTATTTATTTGTAATAAAATACAGTGGCAAAAAGTGAGGAAATTAATTATTATTTCAGAGTTATCAAGGGAAAAATCCTTTCTAGGTTACTCTCCCTTAGTTACATTTGATGTCTTTTTCCTCATAAAAATGTAAGTGGAATTTTGTAAACAAATATTCAAAAGGTAATTCTGAAACTGAATATTTGGTAGTGATGATGTGGTCAGGAAATGTATCTCAATGAATGTGGAAGATAATATGGATGTATAATTTTACTGCAGTTTTTTTACTTGAGTTTTTGTTTTCTAAGGAGAGCGTCTGTTTTTAACATGGTTCAATCTCAATGATTTAAAAAGGATAGCTTTTCTTTTAAAACGTTTTTTTTCATCTTTTTTTGTACCCAGGACAACATCTTGTATTTCGTCCCTCTCAGCCTGTAGAGGCCGTGGAGGGAAGAAATGCAACTCTTCAGTGTCGTCTGGTCAACCACACCGACGTGTCCAAGTACACAGTGCAATGGAATAGAGGGAACGGTTACGTTCATTTTTATCGAGGTCAACACGACGACCCTGATTCCCAGATGCTTCAGTACAGAAACAGAACCACTCTGAATCATGGAGACCTGACCAGAGGAGTCCTGACTCTGACCATCTCCAACGTATCTCTGTCTGACAATGGATCTTATGAAGTCTTTATCTCAGAAACGGGGCCAAGATGTTCGACTCACCTCACCGTCGGTAAGAGTTTAATACTGAACAGCCTGGAAGCTCTGAGAGGCAAGTGAGAAACAAATCATGTCTGTTAAAAGTGCATGGAGAAATTAAGACTCACCTGGAACAAACACATGAATGTTTCTACTCATTTTTAATGAACACAATCTGGTGATTCAAGTTTTTAAGTTTCATCCAAATAGTTTTCTCTCCTTTGTTTATGACTCTTTTTTTTGTTGCCTTTTTTATTTAATTTGTCATTTTTAATTACAAAATTAACGGTGACATTATGTGAAAGAAAATTCAGACAAATAACCCGAACATTATGATTATCTAATACTTGTACCAGGAAAAAAAGTTTAGACGAGGATAATCTTTCAAATCTACTTTTAAAAAAAGGCATCTCTGAAAGAGGATAGGAGTGAAGGGTTCCACGAACTAACTTTCTAACGAGTGAATATTTAAAGTGTTTTCTGTCATGGTGTTCGTTGTCACAAGTGGCTGAAGTGCGTTACACAGAAGTAAAGCGTTCATCTGTTTCTTCTGTGCTAGTCTTAATTTAGCAATGCACGCTAAACATAAGCTACATATATCGCATGTAAGCAAGTAACATTCATTACAGTCATGGCTTTCTTCATGGCTGACATGTATTACATCATGACATGTTTCTGTGGCGACTGAACTCCCAGTGAGTGCAGCCGCGTGGACGATAAACTCTTAGCTGTGATGCGTGTTTACAGCTATGTTTTACTTTTAAATATATCAATCAATGAATATCTCCAACATATATTATGTTGGGGAAAGACTGAACCACCTCTGATTCTGCCCTTCTTTCAACTTTCAGCTGCAGAGAAGAGGATCCATGTCTGGAAAATTGTCCTCTGTGTCCTAATTCCTTCTGCTGTCGTTGCTCTCGTTGTCGTTGTCGTTTGGATTCTGGTGGAACGTAGAGTGATCCGTAAGTTTCTGCTCTAAATAATTGAATTATCAGTTTTGTGAATCTTGCTGAAACTCTGAACTTAAATGCACGTAGGGTAGGATTTCCTAGAAGCCCATGTATTGACTCGTACTAAAGAATCCCTCTGCATCGTCTCTAGAAGTGTGCTGACCTCTGACTGAAATGTTTTACCTTTTTATTTCACTCCATTTAGAGGATAGGGTTTCTTATGTTAGAATATTGTTTCTGATCAAGCCCTCCTTGTGAAGTGATCATTAACCATCACTGGAAATATCAGTGCCTTGCATGCAGAGGTGCTGCGCTGCCGAAAAACATTGAACCACAACAACTATCATTTCAAGATTCAAAGGCTTTCTCGTCACATTTATATGTACAAAAGTGGTGGGGCACGAAAAACGTAGATGTTTATATATATATATATATATATATATATATATATATATATTTATATATATTTATATATAAGCTTCTGGTGCTTTTTTAAACGCGTAAACAAATCGCCGGCTATCCATGGTTCCGATAGGATAGAGAGGGGGGGGGGGGGTGTCGCTCTATGGAAGTCAATGGGACTCCCTGATAGTTGAACATCGACGCTAAAGGGCCCCCCACTGCGTTGATAGTGACGCCAAGGGATCCTGACATATAGGACGAGTTGGGAGTGAGAATGTGTTGGACACGGACGAGAATACTCATTTCCGGCAGCGAGAGCTGCGTCCCTAGCAACCACGTTACTATGAAAACGCAGACGGGGGAAATACTGTTTTCACGCCGAGAGATGGCGATAACTTCACATGAAGACTGGCCAATCTAAAACCTCTTTACTAACATACGTAGTACATATACATTTGCTTGACAAGAACTGAACAAATCTTCGTATTCTCCACAAATGTTTGTTATAGTCAGGGGTGCACATAACTTTTTTAGTGAGTTACTCAGATGAGTACCAGGAGACAGCGTTTGGTACTCACCCCACATGAAGCGTGGTGTTAATAAGTGCAGTCGTCCTCACTGTCCTCCTCAGTGTCTCCTTCACTGTCCTCTATTTACACTTCTTGCATGCTAGATGATGAAGATGATGAAGATGCACCTCCCTGTCTCTTTTTAAGCCTCCGATTTGCTTTCTCCAAAACTTGTTGCCAAAACTGTGAAGTCCTTGCATTTCCTGAGGCCAAGTTGAAGGATCAAATACTAAGAAATTATCACATGACTTGTAGTCATATCTGATTTCAGAGGAGGGAAGTAACAAAGTACATTTATTCAAGTACTGTACTTAGGTACAATTTATGCTACTTTGTACTTCTACTCCACTACAGTTCAGAGGTAAATAATGTACTTTTCCTCCACTACATGTAGTTAATACATTTTAGTTACTTCACAGATCTGGATGAATGATGTGAAATATAATCAAGTCTTAAATCAGACTTTAGTTCCACCTGGAGTAAATTCACAAGCTACCCTGCAGTAGCCTATACAAAGTCATTCAAACTAATTTTTAAACACTTTAATGATCAATAATTATAAAACATATCATATACATTATTATGAAATGGACCAATCTGCAAAATGACTACTTTTACTGTCGCTACTTTAACTAGGTGTTGATGATAATACTTTTCTAATTTTACTTGAGTAACACTTCATCCACCTAACCCTGTCTGATTTCAAACTCTTCCATTAACAGCCTGAGTAAGTTTGCAGGCAGCTGTGTGTTTTACTCCACTTTGTTGTTAATAAAACTGCAGCAGCTTGACCACAGAGCGTGAACGTTGTGATCAGCTGATTTTGCGCAGTTCTCCAGTGTGTGCGCGGGGCACAGAATGTGCACAGGGGAGTCTCCCACTGCAGCCAGTTGATGTAGTTTTGGTACAATTCTGTTGTAGGCCTACACACCGACGTTAACAGCAGCCCCGTCTGTGCACACGGCGACCAACTCTGTCGTCCAGTGATCTAAGCCTCTTTCTCCTGTGAAGCTTCACAGGTCCGTCGGTTATGTCCTGCGCGGCACAGCCAGCACCCAGTTCAATCAGTCATAGAAAGTCCGAAGATTTTTGCAGGGAGCGAAACGGCAAAGTGGCTGCTTAATGTCTTTGGTTTTTTTGGACATGTCTAATAATTTACTCCACTGAGTGTTGACAAGAAACACGTGTAGACGAAATATGTGTTTTTGTTTTGATGACCTATCAGGTACGCAAAGGCGCGTTGTGACACAAGTGACGTTACGCATTTCAGATTGTTGCCGCGCATGCGTACCTGCGTACCAGTTATGTGCACCCCTGGTTATAGTGAACCAAAAGTCGTGATAGAGGCTTGCTTGTCAACATCCGGGTATTTCTGCACTGGTGGGCCATGTTAACAATACCGTGTCACAATATCAATGGATCCAGCAGAGCAATAGCCTGTAGGTAAAACACAGAAGATCAACAAAAGATATGACATCAAATGAACTTACCAAAGCTGAAGTAGATGGTCAACTTCATTCATTTTCTTTCCGTTTCACTGATTTTAATCGCTATACGCTGCTCTCTCTCGTCTCCTCTTCACTACAGGGTGAAAACTACACTTTTCGCGTCACACGTACTTACAGCCAATCAGCTCTCTGAATTATGAGATGACGTTTGGTAGGTATGTCAGATCAGTGCCCCTATCAGGGATGCAAACTTGTCACCTTTCGGCGAAATTCGCCGTTTTGAATCCAAAATAGGTCGTTTGTGTGATTCATGTAGATCTGCAATAAAAATATTTTTGGGGTATGGGGGGGGTCTGGGACCCGGAGTAGTATGCGGCCGCGAGCTGTTATGTGCCATCATGACACGCATGGTGTTCTTTTTTTATATATTATAATGAAGCGCGAGCTGTGTGCTCGAGTCTTCCTGCCTGTCGGCTCTGCTCATGGATGTATAATAAGGCTCTGCTGCTCCGGGATGAGGGTCTAGCTTCAGCAGCTACATTACCTACGGTGCGTTCGTTAATATTAACTGTGCGGTCCGGAGTCACTGTGGCACAGACTGGACCGCTGGTGAACAACTGTTAGAGCGGGCCGTTCAGGTGTTCAGAGCAGAGCTCCCTGTCGGAGCGGCAGAGCGTGATGTGCACTGAAAAGTGTTCCTGTCGCAATATTATTTAATGAATCTTTGAGCTAGCTAACTAGCATACATTGTCACTATCTGCTAACGTTAGCTTTAGCCTTCGTTTTCAAATAGTTTCTTTCATAGGCTTGGTAGGAGGTGGTATAAGTATAGATCTTGTACTTGAGTAAAAGTAGAAGTACTCAGATCTTGTACTTGAGTAAAAGTCGAAGTACCAGAGTGTAGGAATACTCTGTTACATTAAAAGTCCTGCATTCAAAATGTTCCTCAAGTCAAAGTATTAAAGTATTATCATCAAAATATAGTGAAAGTAGCGACAGTAAAAGTAGTGATTGTGCAGATTGGTCCATTTCAGAATAATATATATGATATATTTTATAATGATTGATCATTAAAGTGTTCTCAAAGCTGGTAAAGGTGCAGCTAGTTTGAATGACTTTTCTTTTTTCTCTTACTGTGTTTGAGACTAAGAAGTGTGTGAGAGAAACTCCCTCTGGAGGGAACACAGGGATTTTAGCCTTTGCAGACCATTTACATGCACGAAAACAAAAAAGGGAAGACCCCAAAAATCATAAAAGGGCCTCTTTAAATGTTATCGGTTCTTTCCTTAATTGTATAAAGTGTCTAACACGGTTTGCTCCATGTTTTTCACAGGGATCAGTAAGAAAGGAGGAGATCCGGGGGTGGATGGTGAGGAACTGAAGGAGCTGAGGACCGGTGCCGCAGAGGGCGGTGAAGATCAACAGAAAGAGGGGTCAGAGGTCAAAGACCACGACAATGAACCCAAAGAGCCCTCAGACGAAGTTTAAAAAGCTAGGGCTGGGCAATATATCTATATAAGCGTCTTTGGGTTCGAGAAAAGTGCTATAAAATGTATTATTATTATTATATAATATTTGTATCATTTTATGAGACCAGACATCGTGATAGATTTCTGACATCGTAATATCCCACTGGTTTGAAAAGCAGCCTTAACGTGAAAAGATGTGCTTTACAAACTGGCATCATCTGTTTTTACCCACTAGGTGGTGATATCCATATGACTTACCAAAATGTCATTGTGTAAATATTTGTAGAAAACAACAAATATAAGTGCTGCAGTTTCATCACAATAACGATATCTGAAAATATTGTGATAAATGATCCATACCGCCCAGCCCTAGAATAAACCCATAACATCTATTAGACTGTTAAACACCTGAACTTTTAACATTAATCTGTTTTCAACTTATAGATATCAATATTCCAATCACTTGTAAATAGACTATTCTTGCACTATTTCTACTATGTTATTTACTTGCACTATTTTATCTGTTATTGTGTTGCTCTGTGGGAGGAGCCTGTGACCTCAGATGTTCATTGTCATATCTAAACTGTAGCTATGTACACATGAAACTTAAAGCATTGAATCTTGAACCTTATAAGGTTTAAAAGAAGTGATTCCTGATTATAAATAATTAGAGACTAATCTAAAATGTGCTTTACATTACATATTGCATATATCACACATGTAATACTGTGGACAATACCCACAGGAGTGATGACATTTCATTTAGCTGAGGCTTTTATCCAAAGGGACTTACAATAAGTGCAAAACCATAAAAACTCAGACTCCGAACAACAAGGACAGTGCAGATATATTCACTTCAGGCAAGACCATAGTTAGTGCTGCTGATGTAATGCAAAATCATGCAAATTGTAGATCAAATCAATTCTGTTTTTGTATTTACGTTAACATTTTAAAATAATCTAAGTATCAGATCTAGTTCATTCATTTGAATTGTCCCTCAGCAAACTCTCAAAGTATATTGCAATACGGCCCAAATGTGACACAATTACTGGACATCAAACACACTGTTTCCACACATTCATGTAAATATATCTAACATGTATATATGACCCAAGATGTATATATATGACCCAAGATGTGTATATATGACCCAAGATGTATATATGACCCAAGATGTATATATATGACCCAAGATGTGTATATATGACCCAAGATGTATATATGACCCAAGATGTATATATATGACCCAAGATGTATATATGACCCAAGATGTATATATATATATATATGTTCATTTTATTTCATCTCTTATTTCATAGTTTTCTATCATTTTTATTTGTATCTTTGATTTGATCTTAAATTGTATTAATCTGTGAATCTGTGCCATCCTGTTTTTCATTCTCACCCTGTTGCTGTTTCAACTCCTGCATTTCCCCACGGGGATTAATAAAGATCAATTTTATCTTATCAAACATAAAACTTATGCTTTTCTTATACTTTACTTTTAAAATATATGTAAACAGTTATTCCGCAGCAGTATTCTTGTATTAATAATAATCCCACATTTTAAATAAATTCAGTCAATTCAAGTTAAGAACATTTTCTAACAAATCGTGGCTAATACAAAACAAAGCCCAATAACTTCTCTGCCCACCAAGCTTGAAATAGACCCTTCACATTTCCCCTTATTATAATCAGAGGCTCCGTTTGAAGGAATGAGCTGCCAACACTTTAACAAGATAATGAAACCCTACGGAGAGCTGGGGTTTTAGGCTGTTTGTGTTTTCTCAAAGCATATTCAAGTATCAAGTCAAAGTCATGTATTTGATTTACTAACTTATGAGGCAACCTGATCTCTAGTGAGGGCAATTTGCTGCCCTAGGCGAGATTTTAGCTGCCCCCCCCCCCCCCCAGGCGGCCGCTTGCATCACAGTACATCCCAATGTTAATAAAAGCACACAGAAGCTGTATACGTTTTTAGGGAGTTTGTTTTATTTAAAAAAAACACAAATACAAAATGAAAACCTATAATTTCACACAACATTTTATTTAAAAAAACCTATGGTTTTGACTGTAATTCACATTAATTACAGCAGAGGGCGCTCTCCTAATCAAGTGAAGAGAGGGCTGTCATCTACTTCCACATTACATTACGTGTTACTTGTTAGATGCTTTTATCCAAAGCGACTTACATACTCAATACTGTGGCCAATTTGGGGTGAAGTGTCTCAGGGACACAATGGGTGTTTCTCAATCGCGAGTACGCTTGCTTGGTAGCACATGTCTGCCGAGCATCTTGCTTCAGAAGCGAGTCAAGAATACTTCCTGCCATTCGGAAAACAAAGAGTGGAACAGGCTAGCAAGTGTGCAGGTGTGCGTCATATGAGAGGCCCCGCCTCTTACATCTTCCGCCACAGATTTGGGGAAATTGGTCCGTGCGCAAAGCATTGTGGGGATTTTAAGACCGCGGAGTCTACTCATGTGCAGACTCGATATTTCTCCAAACGGAGTACGCCGGGCTCGGTAGATTTCCAAGTATGCTGGAGATTGGAACAGTACTTCGGCGGCACTCGATGACGTAGTATGCTTGAAATAGTGGCTCTGAAGCAGCTTTACTCGCGATTGAGAAACACCCAATGACTTGCTGACTGCAGTGGGGTTTGAACTTGTGACCCCCTGATCCCAACACCAACGCACAACCCACTGCGCCACACGCCTCCCTGGGCTCTGCTGAGGTGGAGGGGACACGAGCTCTTGATGCCCCTTAAAATATGTGGTTTGTGGTGCCCGTGTTTTTATAACTGGACACAAAAACTATATAACCCAAATAATAGATTTTACAAAAACCACTGGTTTTTACCGCTATTAACATTTATTCCAACTGTCTACAAATGAAATACTCAAGGCCTCAATCTAACACCTCAACACCTTACCTTAGCCTGACTCTCCTTGCCTTTCTTCATCTATCATCATCATAAGACAGCTGTTTTGAGACCACATGGTATCACTTGCTCTGCTGAGGTGGAGGGGACAGGAGCGCTTGATGCTGCTGCAGGGCTCTGCTGAGGTGGTATGTGGCCCAAAATATTTCAAAAGTGCATCTGAAGTATCTGTGACCATCAAGAGATGCATCATATTTGCTAGACCTAAGACATAATATAGAAATCAGATTACAGGAGCAGCTCACAATATCATATATTGCCTCCATATACCATGTACAACATGTGCATTTATCTGTCATAACCCTAACCCTGAGCCCCGACCAAGTATTGAGTATAAATGAACAAACTTTTCAGAAGGTCGAAATATCTGTATCATAAATCCTGTTTGATTGGTCTTATCTAATATTATACTATTTAGAGATACAGGATTATTGATGTTCATGATCTGTAAACTGTAATCATCACAATTAAAACAAAAAAGGCTTGAAATATTTCACTTAATGCATAATGAATCTAGGATATATGAATGTTTCATTTTAAATGAAATGAAAGAAAAACAGTTCTATGATAGTTATTCTTTTAGATGCACCTGTAGATTCAGCGACTCACCAGATGGCAAAGAAGCAGTTACAGTGTGATATAGCATATTAACGATAAAGGCTAAGGTATGCAGTATTTACAGTAGTGACGAGCATTTTAACACCGATGTGAACTTTACACTATTGAACATACTTTAGACAGCATAAACTGTAAGGCAATACAATAAAAGCCTACAACTATAAATAATGGAGGGGATGTAAAAGGAATAGCATTTGAATGACATTATCACTAGCCTATTACTGCAAGCAGGGCGAACATGTGCTCGCCTCAACAGATGAAAATATAACAGGTGAGGTAACATCTGAATAATCTTTCCAAATGTCCCTGAATTTAAGGTGGGAGTAACCGTAATTGACGTTAACTCTAAATATAACTATTGATTAGCAAACATTATTTTTTTCTTCCCCCTAATTTTCGGCGCCCCCCATATGGGTTGATGGCCCTTAGCATTCGCCTATACTGCCTATATGCCCAGGGTCGGCCCAGAGTGAGGGGCCCAGCGCTTCGTGTGTTTTTCTGTATCAGTGAAGAAAGTTTGGACCCCCTGGAGTTCCTCAAAGTGTCCGGTGTATAGTCTCTTTAAATGATAACAGGTTTTAGTGAATGATGTCAGAGTTATTCTCTCCTGTAGAGATGGCAAATCCAGATCATTTTACGGACTCAGGGTCTTCTGAGTCAGTCATTGAAGAGATCCGGATCATACGAGTCATTTGAGTCATATGAGTCAGCATCACCAAGACCGTAGAAATCCTATTGGTGAAACCGAAAAGTTGTTGCATTTCACGAGCATATTATTATTCCATATATTTTGAATATATATATATATATATAATATCTGCATGTATATTTTCTATTTCGACATGTATATTTTATATTTTATTTTATTTTTATTTCTATTCTTGTATATTTTGTAGTTTTGTTTTATTGTAAAATGCCTTATGCTGCTGTAACAACAACAATTTCCCAATTTGGGATCAATAAAGTACTATCTATCTATCTATCTATTAAACTGACGTTATATTAATCTCCGCTACACAGTGTATTTTGCTTTAATAAAAAATGTTGATCACAAAAAAAAGGGGTATTTGGCGATTTGGCAAATCTGAGTCTGCTGTTGACTCGTGCATGAGGACGAGTCTGCTGGATCTCTGGATCTGCTGCTATATACGGCTCCGAGTCCGCACGAGTCTGCTCTGCTGTGTGTTGCAGAACAGTGAGTCAGGATTTGCGAATCCGAGTCTGCTGTGGACTCGTGCATGAGGACGAGTCTGCTGGATCTCTGGATCTGCTGCTATATGGTTACGGCTCCGAGTCCGCACGAGTCTGATCCGCTGTGTGTTGCAGCGAGTCAGGATTTGCGAATCTGCGAATCTGCGAGTCTGCTGTTGGAGCCGTCGGCTCCTCTGAGTCCCCACGAGTCTGCAGGAAGTTTCACTGATCCGCGTCCCCTCCCCTGAGCCAAACGATCACTTCTGGCAGCTATCCTGTGACTGTATACTTGCTAAAGGGTAGGTAGATGGACTTGGGGTACGTTGTAATGTGATTTTACATGTTATAAAGAGAGTAGCGAGTGACGCAATTTATAGTTTTAATTTGTACGTCACACCAAGTGTGGGACTCAAGGACTCGGGTTAATGGAGAGGGGAGACTCGTCATGACCAGCTCATTTCTAGGATCCGGATGAATCAGGACTCGCCCATCTCTACTCTCCTGCTGTCCTCTGATTCTTCTCTGAAGCCGCTGTGGGGGGGTTGAAGAGCTCGACGAAAACACTCGTGAAAAGTGATGTTTAAAACTCAGTTAATGGGGCTCATTCACTGGCGCTTCCACAAACAACAACCAACATAATTGTTACATTCAAATTAAGTAGCCTACATTATTCAAGTTTACATTAATTTTGGATAATAACACGGGAGAAATGAGCGGAAGCGCTCTCTTTTCCTCTCTCCCTCTCTCTCTCCCCTGACAGCCTGTCAGTATCTCATGCAGCTCACTGATCCAGTAATGAGTGACAGTGAAGAATAAATATATGTATAACTAGTTTAGCTTGTTCCAGAGGTAGATAAAATAGCTAAGTGTGTTAGGTCTAACTCTTGTGTGTTCTGCTCCGCTCACCGGTCCGTCACAGCGGGTGGAGCTGCAGGATTTCTGCTTCACACACACGTTGCATACAGCTATTTTACTGTCTTTTTCGGACACCTTAAAATACTGCCAGACTGGTGAAGCCATTTTGGCGAGCTTGTTTTGCCGCACACAGAGAAAAGTGTCATGTATTTTACGTCTCGCGATCAGCCTTTTGCCCTGACACACCAGGCAGTCACCAGAGAACTCGCCGACACCCAACACCGACAGTTCCATCGACGAGTTCTCCTGCGTCTTGGCCGTGTGTCGCACTGGAAATCACCGCAAAGACTTCAGCCGAGCACGTACGAACTGCGCATGCGTGAGTGGCAATAACTCTCCTTACCAGCAGGCGGCGGTAGTGTGTATTCGTCATTCAAAATAGGCAACAACCGGAAGACAGAGAAGAAGAACAGACTGATATAAACAAACAAATAGCGTGTGCGTTCCATTTTCACTCTCGTCCATCGAAAACATGTTTTAGAATATAAAAATACATGAATGATGAAATGAGCACATAAAGTGCAGACATACTATAAAATCACAGTTAATAGACCTGCATCTGATGATCGCAGTGTTCTGGCGGGTGTGTAGTTTATTGAGTCAGCAATGTAATAATGGCCACTTCTTGCTAAATTTACGATGAGATGAACCGGACTTGACCAAACAAATCACGGAGCTTTCAGCAGAGGACAGCCGGGGACGCTCCCGCCGATATCAGAGATGTCCCTGCTATGTGTGGGAGGTAAGAGAGGACATTTAAGGGCTATGTTTGATGTCTTTAAGTATCACCTGCTGGGGTTTAGCTGCTGTCTTGTGCCTTAAATCGTTTGTTTACGTCCCTCACTTCCGTTTCGCTTCTCATTTGCTAGCTGAACAGCTGATCAGAGTGGTTTCTTGGCCCGATAGCTTGTTGGCCGGGTGTCGACCGTGAAAGGCCAAATAAGGCGTGTCACGGCCGAGGGTTCGGGACACATCAAATTTACTTTGGGCGACAAGGAACCCGTTTTCGCCCAACAACGCAAGACGGCCGATATCGGCCTGGTGTGTAGGGGCCAGAGAGCACCGATCGATCGGCAGAGAGTGAGTATTGGCCGATATCGATCGCCACGCAAAAACTGCGGTATTTTTACAGCTCCTTATGGGTACTGCAATTTGTGAAGTGCTTTCCTCTGTGGTGAAACTATCAGCACTGCATTACGGAGGAAAGCGGCAGAAAGTCGCCTGGAGTTAAAGAGAGTGGGGCTGCGTTGCGTGCATGGCTTCCTTCTGCAGGTAACGGCCCCTACACACGGCGGCATGTGGTGACTCTTCAACGCTTCTGCCCATTCACTTTGAATGGGGTGACGTCACGATTCGCCGAACTGCATTCTGGGAGCAAAGCGTAGCTTTCCTCGCGGTGCTCGCTGCAAAAGTAGAGCAATGTTCTACTTTTGAAGCTGAGGCGGAGGCGGCAGCCAATCAAATCCCGCGTATGCAAATCTGACAGTTCACGCGCTAGCCAATCAAACCGCGTGTATGCTGAGAGAGCCAGACCGCAGTTCATTTCCTCATATGCCAAAAAATGGAGGAGAAAATAATCGTAGCGGTAGGGAATCACCCGGTGCTTTCAGTCCCTGTTCACTTACCGGATACAAACCGGAGGAGCCAGGCATGGAGGGAGGTGGCAGAGACAGTGGGTGAAATTGGTAGGTTTTCACCTGTTTGGGGAGTTTATATCCAGTTTACTTCGTTTGAATGGACAGCAGGCATAGACAGTATATTTAGCCACCATGCAATGTTGCATAAAATAGCACCATAGACATTAATTAAAAATCGCTTTTTAGACATTAATGTCTATGGTGAGATTCATACACGGGAGCTTTTTTAAAGCCTTTTTACCCCGCTGCAAACAGAAACCCCCCCCCCCCCCTTCCCATCACAAACTTTACACAGACCCCCCCTTCCAATTATCAACTCCTGTCTTGTTTCCGCAAACTCTTGTGTCCTGCAGCAGCTAAACGTTTTGCAAGCCCCCGTTCGTTTAGTACTTAAAATAATAGACATCGCTTTTTCCAGCTGACAAACCAGACTTTCTGGTCACTTCTTCAATTTTCCAGCCCTTTGGGAGAGACACGGGAGATTCATGTGATTGGTTGATGGTCGCGTTGCTCGCGTAAACTCCCCAAGCTCAAGACACGCCCACCGCCAAGCGGCAACGCACGCCGCCGTGTGTAGGCTGCGTAACGGACCGTCTACACAGCAGCGTTAAAAAAATCTTGAAACGCTTCTGCCCATTCACTTTGAATGGGGTGACGTCACTTTCCCTCACTTTTCGCCGAACTGCATTGTGGGCAGGCGAGCGGAGATTTTCAGGATTCAAAGTTGAACAATGTTCAATTTTTGAGGCTGAGGTGGAAGCGTCAGCCAATCAAATCCCGTGTACGCAAATCTGACAGTTCAAGCTCTAGCCAATCAAACCGCGTGTAAGCTGGGAGAGACATACCGCAGGTCATTTCCTCATATTCCAAAAAATGGAGGAGAAATTAGCGGTAGGGAATCACCCGGTGCTTTATGACCAGACCTACCGGGATATAAACCGGAGGAGCCAGGCATGGAGGGAGGTGGCAGAGACAGTGGTAGGTTTTCGCCTGTTTGGGGAGTTTATATCCAGTTTACTTCAAACGTTTTTGCTTCGTATGTCGCGGGCGGGAGATTCATGTGATTGGTTGATCGCAAAAAAATCCCCAAGCCTCAGATACGCCCACCTCCAAGAGTTTTTTAACGCTGCTGTGGAGACGGTCCGTAACGGGGAGACGCGCTCTGGTGGCGGTCTCGTTCAGGATCCGAAAATAAAATAAATATTTTGTACACTTATTCCACTTATTCCGAGTGTGCCACTGGTTACGGTGCCGCGTGCCATTGGTGGCACGCGTGCCAGGGGTTGCCGACCCCTGATCTAGTTGGACAGGCTGATTGTTAGTTTTTTCTGAATGTTTCTTTATGTCCTCATTTGTCTTTGCTATGTGTGTAAATAACAGTTTGTGGCTTTGTTAATTCAGCTCTATTTGAACCTGTCAAAACTGCATTTATTCTTAAAAAAGTCGTTTGAATAAAGTTTTATACTATTTGCCAGAAATCTGCTTTGGACCTTTTCTCTTTTTATTTACCTGTTGTTGGATTTGTTTTGTTTTTGATGTTGTACTCTGTTTGTTAAAATATATTCTACCTCAATAGCCGAAATAACACATTTTGTCACTGGGCGCTTTACAATCTGTAAAACTTATGAACCCTCGGTCCCCAGAAAAACTTCCCAGAAAACTGAAAAAGAGGAAGGGTTTCTCTTTCAGGACGGACATCCAACAAAATGTCTTCAAAAATAAAAACCATTATAAATTAAATGTAATTGTGTATAGATGTTGTTCCTATTGCATTGAAACCTGTTCTTTAAGTTGATCAGAGAGATGGCACAGCTTTAAAGCAGAGCTGTTTGGAGAGCTCCTCAGTTTCTAGAACAGTCTCCGAGCAGACGAACACAGAACATGCTCCTGATATCAGAGATAATGAACACTTTAGCACACAGGAAGACTCTCACTACTTTTCTCTGAAAGTCATCGTTGAGGCTTCAAAGGGGACGGATATCTACTAACTATTTTAAACAATTATCTTTTTACTTCACCAATTTAGACCATTGTGTCTGGGTCCATTGCATGAAAGCGGTTTAAATGACAGGTTTTAATGCCTGTAGTTTGACAGCCAGGAGAGAGGGTGCATGTCTGGACGAAACCGCGGTCACTCACCCTGTAGTTTGACAGCCAGGAGAGAGGGTGCATGTCTGGACGAAAGTGCAGAAGGCCAATTTCTCTCCTGGATTTGATGATGAATCAACTCGTACTTTTTTTGCTGTTTGCTGAAATCATCTCAGGTGAGTCGCTAACTTTATTTGAGAGTCTGTACCTTTCTATGATAATAATAATGGGTTCCATTTATAAAGCACTTCATATTTGATTTCAAATATGAAGTGCGAGATGATGAATGATAAAACTTTAAGGTACTCAACATTACTGGGTTCACACTGCTGGCAACTAGACTAATTCAAGGGTATTCCCTCACTCTGCTGGAAAAAAGTGGAATATAATTCTAATATATATAATAAATATAATTTGCCCTTTTGTCCCCAAAGCACAGGAGAGCATCTTTCTTGAAAGTGGTTAAAAATCAGAAGACTTTTTAAAATGCTTTTCTTCACAGGCTTTAAAACGTATTAATGTACTTTTTTGTAATGAAAAATATCATTGGCATTAAGTGAACACAATTCATAACAAAGTGAGGAAATCATATCTTTTGAGAGTTATCAAGGGGAAAAAAGTTTCTAGGTTACTCTTCCTTACTTATATGGGTATGTCTTTTCCTCATAAAAAACTAAAGTGGGATTTTGTAAAGAAAATAGAAATATTTGGCATGATGATCAGGAAATGTATCTCAGTGAAGGTGGAAGATAATATGGATGAATAATTTTACTGCAGTTTTTTGATGTGAGTTTTTGTTTTCTAAGGAGAGCGTCTGTTTTTAACATGGTTCAATCTGAATGATTAAAAAAGGATAGCTTTTCTTTTGAAAATGTTTCTTTCTCTTTTTTTCCCGCAGCACTGCCTCTTGCATGTCTTCCCTCAGCCCGTCGAGGCCGTGGAGGGAGGATCAGCGACTCTTCAGTGTCGTCTGGACCCCCCCATCGACCTGTCCTTTTACACAGTGGATTGGAATAGAGGGCTCACCCGCCAAGTTCATGTTTATCGAAGTCGGCGCGACGACCCTGATTCCCAGATGCTTGAGTACAGAGACAGAACCACTCTGAATCATGGAGACCTGACCAGAGGAGTCCTGACTCTGACCATCTCCAACGTATCTCTGTCTAACAATGGACCTTATGAAGTCTACCTCCCACAGCTGGGGGTCAGATGTTCGACTCACCTCACCGTCGGTAAGAGTTTAATACTGAACAGCCTGGAAGCTCTGAGAGGCAAAACAATTACCAGCATATCAGCATCTTTTGATAACAACCAACAAACCCCACAAAACTCAAAGCCCAAAACTCACCTTAAACATTACAATGTGTGTTTATGACTTTAAGAAACAGGAAGGGGAAAAGGGTTTTGACAGATTTATTGTTTTTAAAGGTTTTTTTCCTCACTTGACTCTTTCAAGGCCTGTAGTCATTTTCTTGTTGAACAGTCACTTAATGAATCTGCAGATAATGACTCCTGTTGTCCCTCAATAAGACCTCTCTCCTTTGAAACAGTAACAAAGGAGCAAGAGAACCAGACCAAGAGGAACGACTCCAGCACAACCTCACCTCCAGCTGGAGAGAGAAATGGTACATTATTTAAAAACCTCTGTAGAAAAATGTAGTGTCTTTGTCCCTCTGGGTAAAGGACAGTCTGATAGTGGGAGTTGATGTGAAACTGCATCACCTTGGCTCTTCTTGTGAACTGAAATCTCCTCTGATTGTATTCCAGATGCTTCAAACAGAGAGGCTGGTCGTGCTGCTATCATTCTCACAGTTCTCCTGATTCTCTGCGTTCTCGTTGTTCTGCTGGTTCTGAAGAGAGGGAAGATCCGTAAGTTAAAAAACAAAACAAATATCACAATATGTCTGACCAAACACACTCACTGGCCACTTCATTAGGTACACCTGTTCAACTGCTCGTTAAGGCAAATATCTAATCAGCCAATCACGTGGCAGCATCCACTGCATTGAGGCATGTAGACATGGTGAAGAGGACACGGGTTGCGGTCGAATAGTCCATTTAGCTTAGGAACCTTCCTAACGGAGTGAAATGACCCGGAAGTCCCTCAGTGGCAGCCATGATAAGTGCCGTTCGAATTCTCTAAATTAAAAGGAAAGGAGGTTTCAAACTTCCTTTATAACCTCCTTTAGTTTAGGAACCACTGGACCTCCCTAACCGAAAGGAGAGGAGAAAATGCTGCCCCACAATGCCTTACGGCCGCAGCATTTGCCGTCACCCAACAGTCGGCCGTTCACGGAAACAATCGATTATGAACGAGAAATGATATCATGAAAGTTACGGTGCTTAATAAGCATTTTAAAACGTATGTGGTAAGTTGCCAAAGTGCTTTGTTTTGAACGTTCATCAGTATTATAATCAAAAAGAGAAATATGAACGTTAGTTTTTACTGAAATGATCAAATAAAGTCAACATTTCACAGTCTTTACTGAGCTGTGTGGGGTTTGTTCAACTTTTAAAAGATGTCTGAATGGTGATATACACAGTGATAGATGTTAAGGACTAACGTTTATAATAAATACATTTGTATTGATTTTAAGATCTTTTCATACAATCATACGTATTGGGATCATTTGTATTAATGTGGACCGGAGGGAGAGGGAGACGAGCATAAGTTTCACTTTCCTTTTTTATTTCAATTCCAACTTTGGTCATGAAGAATATGTTTCTCTGTTGTCCCCGTTCATAAAGCATAAAACAACAGCATCAGAGCACGGTGCAGAGTCTCTAGATGAGTTTACAGTAGTCCCTCGTTCTTATTAAACATCCATGTTGTAGTCCGCTGTATAGAAAACTGTAGTTTCCATAGTTTCCCCACAGCAGCAGGCGCACATTTATGACGTCCGCTGGCGCATCATAAACACGTCGGATAGTGAAAGTGCAGTCGGATTCTCTAAAGTACCGCAGTCTCTTCTCCTAAATCCTTTTGAATTCTCCTATCCACTATCCCTTAACCCCGTGACCTTTCACACAGAGGTCAAGGAATAGACGATAGGGATAGACGTTAGGAGCTGATGTTTTGACTATTGGACCGCAACCCTGGTGAAGTTCAAACAGAGCATCAAACGGGGAAGAAAGGTGATTTAAGTGACTTTGAACGTGGCATGGTGGCTGGTGGCAGACGGGCTGGTCTGAGCATTTCAGAAACTGCTGATCTGCTGGGGTTTTCCCTCACAACCATCTCACAGAATGATCCGGAAAGGGGAACATATCCAGTGAGCGACAATCGGAACATTTTGGTTTTGCTTTATTCCATACATACTATGTGTGCTGCTTTTTGGCTGTAAACATTGCAGTTTTGTCTTTACATGAAATATCACATGCTTCATGTCTGAGTTTTAGATTTATAAAGTAAGATTGAGATGACACATGAATTTGTTATATCACTTTTTCATTTGACATCTCTCCCAAACTTGGTTTCTCTCTTTCAGAGGGATGGATGGAGACGCTCAGAGGAGGGAAGGACAGACAAACAGACGGTGGGGAATGAATGCGAAAATAAAAATCTGAACACGGACGCAGAAACTGGAGACCTGTAGAGAAACGGGTCAGAAACCTCTGTCTGATAGTTACCCGCTGCTAAATGTTCCATTTTCCTGCTGAAAAACTAACCAGATAGATATTATATCCTCTCTGCTGGCAGAGGTACAAATATACAGGATTAAAAACAATGGGACCAATAAAAGGGTCATTCCAGAAATGCAGGACATTTTCGGTCCCACATTACCTTTAGTCAAATGTAATGTTTACGTGTAATTTAGCATAATCTATCTGCTTTAAATGCATTTTATTTTCCCAGATTATGAATTGCCTTTTTTTCTTGCCACCAGGGAGCCTAAGCATGTTCAGTTTGCAACAACTAACAATATATCTGAACAGTTACCTCAAAATGAACAAAACGTTTAAGTTATATTTAGATCAAGAGTTTAATAGACATTTAAAAATTGATTTCAAAGTTCTAGCGCACCACTGAGCGCTGATTAAAAGGAACAAATAACACATCCAATAAGAAGTGAACCTTGATGCCTGAGCTGCCAGAAGTGAAAATAAATTGATGAGTAACTTCCTGACAATCTGGAAGGGTTAATTTTGAATGACCCTAAAGTGAGTTGTGAGTCCTCGGCCCAAATATCATGTTTTCCATGAGCCTAAAATGACCAAATATCTGTACCTCCACTCAGACTGCAGACATTCACGTCCTCCTCAGGAACATCGTTCAAACTGTGACCAAATACGTGCAGAACTACTGACGTTCCCATCGAGATCAGGCCTACTTTGTGTTTACTGATTAGCACCTGCTTCCTGATGCTACTCCTTCTTCTAGAAACCAGGCTTGACCCTCATCTACTGTAGATAAACTACTGACTGTTGAAGGGCTGGTTTATAACACTGTTTTTATATATTTTAATATATGTGGGGTTTGGAAGTTATCATTGTATGTTCTTGTTTCTCTGAATGTAATTCAATAATGTCACTTGAGTATTTTTTGGAATGATGTTACTTGAATATCAGTGAGTTTGGCTCACACTGTCCCCCCCCCTCCGAAGTGAGTCTTTAATAATACCTATTGTGTGGTTGTTGCAGTAAATACTGTGTTGTTACTTGAGCCAGAGTTAACAGGAATGTGTTTTGATTTGTAATTGTTTTTACTTACAAAGTCATTGAATCAGATTCTGTAACTGATGAAATTAGCACTAAAAACTGATTAATTCTTCTTAACACTGTCTTCGTCTCCTTGGTCCCTCATTGAATGAGCTGCTCTGATAAATGAACCGGCCAAAGAACGACCCCTCAGTAAAATGAGTTCAGAGGTCAAACTGTACCTCAGGATCCCATTTTATAATCATTAATGCTTTCTACTCCTCTGCCTTTCAGAGGTACGCAAAGTACTTGTTACTGCATTTATCAAACAGCTTTAGTTACTTTCCAGAAGAGTTGATTTTGGATTGTTGAGATAAAAGGATGTGTTTTCTTTTATGTGTCGACACATTTCTTCTACTTTTTAAGCTACATTAGTTTTTGAGAAGCCCCTTGATCAGCTGGGAAACGAATCATCACAAAGCTGAAGGGTGTTCTCTGAGAAACTCTCAAAGTCTGACAGGACGCTAAAAGACATGTGATCTTATTGAATATAATGTACTGCTGTAGATTAAACAGCCGTGAAGAAGGAACAATGAGCACAACCTTAAACACCACTTCCCAGAGATTGGGACCTTTTTTTCAAAACCTAAAGAAAAAAGATGTAGTCTAAAGCAGTGGTTCTCAACTGGTCAGGCCTCGGGACCCACTTTTTCCTTTGTCAATAAATCGCGACCCGAAATTTTGAACCACTCAAATCTATTCAACAAAAAATCGTGCTGTAATTTATACGCTTTTCAGCATACAATATTAATTAAAGTGAAGTACAGTGCATATATCCCTTATATCCCTTCACAGAACTAAAGTATGCTTTAAAGGTTTAATGAGATGATGGAATCAAAGCTGAACTGTATAACATAAAAAGGCACACAAGCTGAAAACCCAAACCCAGAAGAGGGTGGGGGATTTTTAGAAATACTAACATATAAAACTACGCATTCTGGTACACTCTGAGAAGAAAATAAATAAATGTATTACTACCCGACATATTAATAATATTTTATGCCATTGTTTGTTTTTCACTTTGTTCTGACAGCTGTTCTTTATTTTCAACTTTTTTTCCCCTTCACTCACACATCTGTGACCCACTCTAAACGGGTCCGCAACTCAGTTGAGTCTAAACTGGTCTAAAGGAACTCAGAAAAATAATAATGTCCCCTTAAATTTGTTTGTGTTATCTCCAATTTCTTCCTATTTACTGGCTGATCTTTACAATCTCCTTTAGGATAAAAGGCGAGAGGCTCTTTTAGGATGAGTTCAAAATGTAGAAGCTGCTCTGCCCCCTGGTGTCCAAGCGGTGAAACTACATGTTTCTCATGACAATTCAATAACAACTTTTCTCACCACAAAGTAACTGCTACTAAGACAATTTAGGAACTGTATATCCTCGGACCTCAACCAGAATATACAAACAAATGTCCACTTGAATCCTTCCTCGTAAACGAGTGCAGCAACAGGTTATAGAGAGACTTAAAGAGTCCTCTCCTGCTGATGTTCAGGTGTATATCAGTATGTAGTGCCTCTACTTTAAAGAGTCCTCTCCTGCTGATGTTCAGGTGTGTATCAGTATGTAGTGTCTCTACTTTAAAGAGTCCTCTCCTGCTGATGTTCAGGTGTATATCAGTATGTAGTGTCTCTACTTTAAAGAGTCCTCTCCTGCTGATGTTCAGGTGTATATCAGTATGTAGTGTCTCTACTTTAAAGAGTCCTCTCCTGCTGATGTTCAGGTGTATATCAGTATGTAGTGTCTCTACTTTAAAGAGTCCTCTCCTGCTGATGTTCAGGTGTATATCAGTATGTAGTGTCTCTACTTTAAAGAGTCCTCTCCTGCTGATGTTCAGGTGTATATCAGTATGTAGTGTCTCTACTTTAAAGATTCCTCTCCTGCTGATGCTCAGGTGTATATCAGTATGTAGTGTCTCTACTTTAAAGAGTCCTCTCCTGCTGATGTTCAGGTGTATATCAGTATGTAGTGTCTCTACTTTAAAGAGTCCTCTCCTGCTGATGTTCAGGTGTATATCAGTATGTAGTGTCTCTACTTTAAAGAGTCCTCTCCTGCTGATGCTCAGGTGTATATCAGTATGTAGTGTCTCTACTTTAAAGAGTCCTCTCTTGCTGATGCTCAGGTGTATATCAGTATGTAGTGTCTCTACTTTAAAGAGTCCTCTCCTGCTGATGTTCAGGTGTATATCAGTATGTAGTGTCTCTACTTTAAAGAGTCCTCTCCTGCTGATGTTCAGGTGTATATCAGTATGTAGTGTCTCTACTTTAAAGAGTCCTCTCCTGCTGATGTTCAGGTGTATATCAGTATGTAGTGCCTCTACTTTAAAGAGTCCTCTCCTGCTGATGTTCAGGTGTATATCAGTATGTAGTGTCTCTACTTTAAAGAGTCCTCTCCTGCTGATGTTCAGGTGTATATCAGTATGTAGTGCCTCTACTTTAAAGAGTCCTCTCCTGCTGATGTTCAGGTGTATATCAGTATGTAGTGTCTCTACTTTAAAGAGTCCTCTCCTGCTGATGTTCAGGTGTATATCAGTATGTAGTGTCTCTACTTTAAAGAGTCCTCTCCTGCTGATGTTCCGGTGTATATTAGTATTTAGTGTCTCTACTTTAAAGAGTCCTCTCCTGCTGATGTTCCGGTGTATATTAGTATTTAGTTGGGGGGGGGCGACACTAACAGGAAAGGGAGAAGCCCAAAAAGCAGAATCGGGCCTCTTTACTTAAGGATTATTAGAGAAGTGATGTGTCTGATAAATGTCTGGTAGCAACAGATATCTGTATCAGCTGCTTTATTGGACTGAAGCTGTCCAGATTCATCTAATATCATTCCATCACTTGCACTATCTCACTATTTTTCCTTTTGTATTTATCAATTTTTTTGTGTTTATCTGTGTTATTGTGTTGGAGGAGCCTGTGACCTAAGATTTTCATCGTCATAACTACACTGTAGCTATGCACGTTTGACCAATAAAAGCCTTGAAACCCCCCTTTCTATGAGTCCGAACCACAATCCCATCCCACATATTGAACCAAATTCTGATTCATTAGAACGAAAAAGACAGGAAAACATGAAACACGATGAAAGCCAAACGCCTGAACTACAGACACTTTACGAAACCAAAAAATATGTAGACGTGGATTTTCTCTCGGTAATCATCTACGTCATTCTGTAACCAATTTTATTTTCCATTAGGTGTTATATATATGTACATGTTATTCATCAGTTTCAGTGCTGCTCCATCCATTTGTAATCCAATGTGATCATCTCCTCCCCGGTGTGAGATAATACAAAATAAATTACAAATCTGTTTTCCAGGCCTGCACACTCACACCTCGCTCATTAAAATCAACTTGCACTAATTTCACATCATTTTGTTTTTTTTATAATCCTTTTTCACTTTAATGAACACCAACTGTAGTTTGAAACACAAATAAAGAAAAGAAACAAAAACAACAACAAATGTTCCAGGGTGTTTTGGGATGGGGGGGGGGGGGGGGGGGCTCGACAACAGGTTCTTGCTCGGGATGTTTTCAAAAAATAAAAACACATCAAATTGTAAATTCTATATAGATATACTCGCTCAACAAGTCTGCATAATCTGTCACATTAGATACATTTGACGGCACGTGGAAACCTCCTTTCTTCACCGCTTCAGTTTGATGTGTTCTGCAAACCAGTGGAACCATTTCAAGGCCTCCGAGTTCGTCACCGAGGCGTTTCCTGATGTCTTACAGAATGAAAAAGGCCTCGAAGAGAAGTGTTGTGATCCTATTTTTTATTATTATTATTATTATTATTCTCGCTTTCCCTCTTCTTAGAATATAAGATTATCTCAACATTTAAATAAATCACTGCATCTGATGTCTTATAAAACACGCCGATATCTTCCATTTCCCTGATAGAGAAACGGGGGGTTAAATATTGAGCTTTGGGTTTTTTTTGGGGGGGGGAGGGGGGGGGGGGGGGACAGGTAACCATGACCTTTTTCACTTACTTCATTTAAAAGGAACATCGTCCGCAAAAAAAAGCTTGCATTATACAGTTTACAATGTAGTACCATGCTAGCGCTGCTCGCCTCGCCCTAACCATTTATTAGCAATGGAGAATCAGTGTTGTTGGAAACTACAACACACACACACACACACTCACACACACACACACACTCACTCACACACTACTGTTATAACCCCATTCTGCCCAATCAGAGGAGGAGGAGGGAGTGACTAACGGAGAGCGGGAGGGGGAATGAAACAGATCATTTGTTTGTACAGAAAACAAACAGAATTTAACAAAAGCAGCAAATGCAGAAAATCACCCTTCATGCATTCAAAATGAGCGGGGAGAAAACAAATGGGGGGGGGGGGGGGGGGGGGGAATATGGGGGGGGAAATGGGGGATTCACAGTTTTCTCAGCTATGATGCAGAGATGGAGGGTCAGGTGGAGATCATTTTGAGGATGTGTCTGCGATTGGCTGAGCGCCGGTGTCATACCGTGTCTGTGGGGGGGGGGGGGGGGGGGGGGGGGCAGAATGGGGGTACAACTACATTCCTTTCCTGACTAAAATGAATTTGCTGTTAACGTAGAAAGAGTCTCTCTCTGTGTTTCCATCGCCGTGTTAAATTCCTGGCTTTAGAGAAATGAAGCCTGCTGTGCGTACGCTCTGGTCTGTAGTCGGGGAAGGGAGGGGGGGCAGCTAAGATGCTGGGAGGTCCGCGCTGAAGGGGGGGGGCGGGGGCTCAGCCGGTGGGGGGGCCTTTGCGCTTCAGTAGATACTGAGAGATGTCGTCTGCGTCGCGCTTCAGCCAGGCGGCGTTCAGCAGGATGTTCTCGCAGCACTGCTCCACCGTGCGCTCCGCCGAGGGCGCCGGGTGGCTCTCAAAGAAACTCTGAGGACACAGATAGTCATAATATTATTAAAGGTCCCCTATTATACTGTTTTTCATCAATATATCACAGGTCTCAGATATATCCAGAACCTGTCTCTGATTGGCTGAAACACCAAACAGATCATTGCAGCATCCCATAATCCCCTCTGTTTCAGCCCCGTTTCCAAAGTGCTGATTCTCTGTCTGTTACTTTAGATGAAAATAAGGAGCCCCTCCCCACACCCCTCTGAGAGATTATTATGTTATGACATCATAAAGTGGCCAAAATCTGATCAGCTCATTTTCAGACAGGTTTTTATATAAATGGATCAGGACAAAAAGAGAGAATCTTTGTTCCTGAAACTTTCAGAGTCTCTTTCCACAGAGGGGACACATGTTGATGTAGAAGAGACATGAGGAAGTGGATTTTGCATAATAGGTGACCTTTAACATTCTCTGAACTGAAAAGTATAGAATATATGAAGTAAATATAATTGAATCAGCTAAATTAACTGAGCAGATCATAATAATATGTCTAATTGTGCATGCGTGTCACTCCAGATGTTCTGAGGAATGTTAAGGCTAATGTCCCGATGTCACAACAATATTTATCTTATTTGTTTCATATCAAGAATTGTGTTCAAAACATGTTAAATGTAATAAAGGACATGTTATGTAAGCATTCTAATTCTTAAATGGCTTGAATTGTACTTTTAGCAACAAAAAACAAGCTTTTGAAAAGTAGCTAGTTCCGTCACATGTGTTAGCATCGCACATGGACAGACATGTTGTCATGGCAACACAAAGTCACATGACCTGGCCTAGGGACCCACCAGACTGTTCAGAGTGTGTCACTTAGGGACTTCATGAGATAAAATAAAAGGCTAAAGCTGTATAAGGAACTTTCCAGAACATTTAAAGTCATGTGACACCTGGGTTATTTTGGGTTGAAACAGAACACATTCAAATCCATTCAATAACGTTTAAGTTTGGTATCTATTAAAGCTGCTGTGATTGCAGAGTAGACCTCAATGTTCAGACATGTCTGTACTGTGAGGTCATACCGCCCTCTAGTGGTCAAACATGTGAAGTTCTTTGTAATATATGTCACCCACAGGAACAGACCAAATATCTGCAGAACAAGTGAAGCGCTCTCACCTTTATTTCAGCAGCCATTTTGTCGATAGCAAATCCATTAACTGTGAGCTGCAAAGACACGACGACAGGAAACATGTGAGCGGAGTAAACAAAAACGACATTGTGAAAAGTTAACCAACTAATTCACTCAGCAGAATAAATGGTTCTGTATGTTGCTGATCTACCTGGAGCTCACCTGAGCTTCATGCCGTTTTAGGGAATAGGAAAAACTCAGTAATAGAGAATAATATGAATATATAACTTTATGGCAATTGTTTGACCCAGTTTTTCATTTCGAGGCACAGGGGTAATGTCTCAGGGCCACATGAACCATCAGAGTGTTTTATGTACCTTGATGAGCCGTGATATGAGGAAGCCGCCCTGGTAGCGGTTGTAGAGCTCCTCCCAGTTGTCCTTCACAAACTTCCAGGCAGCTTTACGGCCTTGTTTACTGCTGTCAGCGACGCCTCCGATCACTAACACTGTGTCCTGGGGACGGACCTCTTCCTGTGGGGGAGGGGGGGGGAGAGAGAGAGGGTTATAGAGAGAGGGGGTTATAGAGAGAGAGATAACAATGATATTTAAAAAAAGATCCAGATGTCAGGCAAACAATATTGACTTCACAATTGGGACACATACAATAGAAAATTGCTCAGAATATAATTATTTAGGTCTGACTGGAAGTTCCACTGGAAGCTTTAATCAAGCTGTCAATGGACTGAGAGAGAAAGCACGCAGGGCGTTTGATGCAATAAAAAGACAAATTCACATTCAAATTTTAAATTAGGCTTAAATGACTTCAATCAGTAATACAACCCATCCTACTCGATGGAAGCGAAGCGTGGGGCCCACAAACAAACCAAACATTTGACAAATGGGAAAATCATCCAGTTGAAAATGCTCACAATGAGTTTTGCAAAAGCCTCCTACAGGTTCACAGGAGAACTCACAACGCCTGCAGACCAGTCTGAGACCACAACTATTAGAGTCAACCAAAATATGACAAATCACACCAAAAACTACCTGACTTATTGGAACACTGAATCCCAAACACAAAGTCAATGCTATCTGGCCCTAAAAAGACAGTACACTGTGGCAGCCTACCTGAGCACAGTGACTGATGTTAAACACAGGAAGATGTTGACAAAGTACAGACTGAGTGCTCACAGCCTGGCCATAGAAACAGGCAGGTAGAGAGAGAGACAGAGAGAGAGACAGAGACAGAGACAGAGACAGAGACAGAGACAGAGACAGAGACAGAGACAGAGACAGAGAGAGAGAGAGAGAGGTTAGCTCAGGAGAGGTTTTGATCAGCCAACGTCTTCACTGACTGGAGGAAAATCCTGTCAGACACTTTGGACTTTGAAGTGAAAAGCAGAAAGGTTATAAACTGATTCTCTACGGATCACCTCCTGTGTTGTTTTATTGCAGAGTCAGAGTAATCATTACACCAAACTGGGTCACATTCTCCTCCAAAACACACAAGCAGTAAAAACAACCGTCATGTTTTTGAAATGCAACCTTAAAGTGTTGCAAGCTTTGAGGAACAGATGTTTCAAGGTTCAGGAGGAATTGTTTTATAACACAGGATGAGGATCAGGGAGTAAAGACACAAACTGACCTGGGGTCTTTCAGAAACCCCCTTCAGTGTGTCGTCTTGGGGCTTAGTGATTATAAAGCAGGTAACTGGTCCAGGGGGTGTTCTACGACATGCGTTTCATTTGTGTTTTTTTATACTATTTTTTTATTCTGCATGTTCCTCACTGCTGTAATCTCCACATATCAACACAGTAAAAAGCTAATGTTGGGCTATAGAGGAACTACAGCACGGTCACATGACTTCACGTCACCACCGCTAAGCTAAAGGTGGCTAATGTTGGGCTATAAAGGAACTACAGCACGGTCACATGACTTCACCACCGCTAAGCTAAAGGCGGCTAATGTTGGGCTATATAGGAACTACAGCACGGTCACATGACTTCACGTCACCACCGCTAAGCTAAAGGCGGCTAATGTTGGGCTATAAAGGAACTACAGCACGGTCACATGACTTCATGTCACCACCGCTAAGCTAAAGGTGGCTAATGTTGGGCTATAAAGGAACTACAGCACGGTCACATGACTTCACGTCACCACCGCTAAGCTAAAGGTGGCTAATGTTGGGCTATAAAGGAACTACAGCACGGTCACATGACTTCACGTCACCACCGCTAAGCTAAAGGCGGCTAATGTTGGGCTATAAAGGAACTACAGCACGGTCACATGACTTCACGTCACCACCGTTAAGCTAAAGGTGGCTAATGTTGGGCTATAAAGTTACTACAGCACGGTCACATGACTTCACATCACCACCGCTAAGCTAAAGGCGGCTAGCGTTGGGCTATAAAGAAACTACAGCACGGTCACATGACTTCACGTCACCACCGCTAAGCTAAAGGTGGCTAATGTTGGGCTATAAAGGAACTACAGCACGGTCACATGACTTCACATCACCACCGCTAAGCTAAAGGCGGCTAGCGTTGGGCTATAAAGGAACTACAGCACGGTCACATGACTTCACGTCACCACCGCTAAGCTAAAGGTGGCTAATGTTGGGCTATAAAGGAACTACAGCACGGTCACATGACTTCACGTCACCACCGCTAAGCTAAAGAAGGCTAATGTTGTGCTATAAAGTTACTACAGCACGGTCACATGACTTCACGTCACCACCGCTAAGCTAAAGGAGGCTAATGTTGGGCGTGATGACGTTTAGTCGTCTCATTTAGACTCTTGCTAGCAACCGGCATTTTAAAATGTACCGATTGGGTATTTACTGACATATTTTATGCCGAAGAACCAAACATTAAAATCTCTTCAGCTTGTGTTAACCACAGAACTTATTTCAAGGGTTCTAAGCAAAAACACTTTCAAATAAACATCGACTTTGATTCGAAGGGAACCAGAAGTTAAAAATGCCAACTTATTATTGAGTTTTAGGACTCATTTCTGCCCCACCCTATTGTACGAACACTGTTTTGTGCAGAAATTGCCACGCGACACATCTTCCTCTTCCTCTGTGACTGTGAGAAATAACAGAAATGTTTGCAACATGTGGTGAACGCGTGTGTACCGAGAGGGCGAAGGTGAGGACTTTCTGGATGAGGTCGGGGGCAGAGATGGCTCCCAGCACTCGCTCGATGCGGTTCCTCTCCTCCTGCATGTCTGCCAGTTTGTGGAGCTGAAATACACAACAAAAAAAACCCAGTGTTGTGAAGATTATTATTAATTTGATTGCCTATATTCTAATTTAGCTGGATTTACCTATATATAGAGATACGAGTGTCATATAGTATCTGTAAATATGTAAATTCAGCTACTCTGTTATGGTTGTTAGTCTTCTTAATAATGTAACTTACATGTTTACCCTATTTGTGTCCTTATTATCCTTGTGTAAACTAATCTTAATTATCTTGTGTTTCACTCTTAATCTGTTGCCATGACACTACAGGGATTGTTAAATGCTTATCTTATCAATGATCCGTTTATTTATCTGTGTGTGGGGCATGGAGCAACAACATGTTATTGTGCAATATGGTATTGTATAATGACAATAACAAATCCTTGAATTCCTTGAAGAGGATTATTTTAAGTGCAATCACTCACAGTCTAACATGTTTACTGAAGTCTTACCTCCATCATTTTTTCCAACGTGGCACTGTCTCCATGCTTCAGCACTGTTAAATACACCTGAAACAAAAACACAATTACAGTCAAAGCGTTACTCAAATAGGATTCCTACACAGTTTAAACTAAATCTAACTAGTTTGATGATATAACATGAATACTTTAAGAGGTTAGTGGTATTTTGGTTGTCATATTTTGGAGACAGAAAATGTAATAATGTAAAATAGATGCTGTGTGAGAAGCACTTTGGACTCTAGGTGGGCGGTGTATAAACAGCACAGTGGTGAAGAGAAGATATGCTGATGTTACATTTTAATTTGTATGCGCTGAACGTTTATCAGCTCACTGCAGCTGAGGAGTTGGAATATGTCTCAGAAAGGTGAAAGGAGTACACATGATAGCCCATGCCTTGATTTGATTTGAAAAACAAGTATTCATTTGAAGGCAAAGGAAAAAATTGGTATTGGTTAACTCAGGGTATATGCAGGAATCCTGAAGTCAAATGTAATACCTTTCAAGACCTTTTTTAAGACCCTTTCCATACATTTTAAGACCTCGTCGCCACTTTGAGTTCTAACTGGTTACATTGGCGACACACTTTACCTCACATTGACTATATACAGTATTGATTGTCCTTCCTCCTTATCTTCCAACCATTTGGACGCAGACTTGCATTTCCCCATAACGATGTTGTTTAACAACCGGCGTAAACGGACCTTCGCGCGCTATCAAGCAGTGAGCGTGCGATGTCCTGTTCAGATGACGTCAAATCCAACGGGATGCCATAAATAAACTACACAGAATCACACTACACACCTACGCAATGATTACATTCAGGCACACTGTAGAATACAACCTCTTTGGACAATTTATATACTTATTGAAAACAAGCTACAAAATGTAATACCTTGGAAAATGCTGTTTAATACTTTTTAATAGCCTTAATTTTCGCTAAATTGATTTATCAACTTGTAATACTTTTTAAGACCCCGCGGACACCCTGATCCCGTGAATATAAAGGCGGTTTTGATGGAGGTCTCTGAGGTGTTTCTGCTCACCGGGCTCCTCAGGTCTGCAGGCAGGACCTGCTTCCCCTCCACATGGTCTCTGAATCTCCGCCGCGCCTCCTCCAGAGTGGGTTTGTGTCCCGCCTTCCCCAGCTTCCCCAGAACCAGACTCCTCAGCAGGGCGTCCAGGTGGCCTGAGAGACACAGCACACGCAAGCTATTATCTTTAGTCAAAGTCAACTTTATTATCTTTCAGTTTGTGTGTACAGACGGAGAGATCGAAATACTGTTTCCCACAATCCTGAATACAAATATATATATAAAAATATGTATATACCTAGATATACACAATCGACAGACATATCAGAGGTCTGGGCTAAAGTATACTTAATCACAGGGTAAAAAACAACACGGTGGTACATTTTATGGTAAATTACCGTACATCAAAAAGTGATCCTGTGAGTCCAGGAATTACATTATTGTGAGCCATAAACCAAGTGGATTATGGTGTAAGATTTAAAAATAAACAACTTCTCAACTCAACAAAAGTGATCAACCTTTACACTACGTCAAACTAAAAGCGATTTACATACAAGCAAAGAAAACATGTGCTCTTTTCTAAATAAATGTGTGGTTATTTCTGTATTTCTCTCAAAGATTTCCTCAAAAGAAAAACCTGAATTTCAGCTTCAGTTTAAGCATGTATTGCCCCTATTAAGTATTTTAAACAATAAATACAATACACTGTAATAGACCAATCTATTAATAACAAATACTTAGGATGTGTGTGTGCCTCACCAGGGAGAAGAGGTTGTTTTGTGTGTGTGTGTGTGTGTGTGTGTGTGTGTTAATGTTCATAAAGACATCTCCTTTGGTCTGAATAATAATGTATTCATCTCCTCACCTTCCCCTGGCTTGCAGTCCCAGCCCAGCTCCAGGCCGATGGGGGTGAAGAGGTCTCTGATGAACTCCTGGATGTCCTCGTGGAAGTCGGTGTGCGACAGCAGCGAGGACAGAACGCCCAGGTTGCAGCTGAGGTCGCTCCACACCGTGTAGTTCGGCTCGTTCACAAACGCCTCCATGAGCGTCAGAACCTGCACCGTGCTGATCATCCCCGCACGAGACTGAAGACAAAACAACCAGGTCACAAATGCTTCTATAATTATATCAAAACAAAGTATCCCTGCATGATAACAAGTATTGTGCTTAAGGGAAGATGAGTTTCCTCTTTTGTCACATTTAAAAGTCTCAAACTGAAGGTGTTGTAGAGCAAGAAGAGAAAAGGGAGATTTTTGAATAATTGGTTTAAATATTTTTGTCTTGTTGTAAACCTTTTAATAAAAATGAATATGCATATTTCTGTAGGGGGGTAACAACAGATACATTTGATATAAGAATGTTCCACTTATTAATGAATCAGATTTTTAGGGGATTTTCACATGATCATAAACCTCTTGTGATTCTGACACATCATCTGTGTAACTTTTAGTGAGGTCAGGCTGAGGTCAGCGTCACAAAATGCTTCCTGTAGTGATGAAACTAAACAGTCAGAAACAGAGACATTTTAAAAATAGAGTGCTTCCTCAAGTGTGTGTGTGTGCCTCACCAGGGAGAAGAGGTCGTTGTGTGTGTGTGAGTGTATGTCTGTGTGTGAGTGTATGTCTGTGCGTGCGTCTGTGTGTGCCTCACCAGGGAGAAGAGGTCGTTGTGTGTGTGTGTGTGAGTGTATGTCTGTGTGTGAGTGTATGTCTGTGTGTGCATCTGTGTGTGTCTCTCACCAGGGAGAAGAGGTGGTTGTTGTTGTGTGTGTGAGAGTGTCTCACCAGGGAGAAGAGGTCGGTGTGTGTGTGAACGTGTGTGTGTGCGTGGTGTGTGTGTCTCTCACCAGGGAGAAGAGGTCGTTGTGTGTGTGTGTGTGTGTGTGTGTGTCTCACCAGGGAGAAGAGGTCATTCTGTGTGTGTGTGCATGCGTGTGTGTGTGTGTGTGTGTGTGTGTGTGTGTGTGTGTGTGTGTGTGTGTGTGGTATGTGCGGTATGTGCATGGTGTGTGTCTCTCACCAGGGAGAAGAGGTCATTCTGTGTGTGTGTGTGCGTGTGTGTGTGTGTGTGTGGTATGTGCGGTATGTGCGTGGTTTGTGTGTCTCACCAGGGAGAAGAGGTCGTTCTGCAGGCCCAGGCGGTCCACCGGCTGCAGGCTGAGGTTTCTGACTCCGGGCAGCAGCCTCTCCAGCATGGACGAGCTGTACTGGATCCGGTAGAAGCCCACGGTGCCGGGGTTTATCTGAGAGCAGGGACACAACGGGTCAGACTGAGGGGGGGGGAAGAAGGCTCACTATTTATTTAAACTATATTCATTTGACTTCTTAGACCGAGTGCTCTTATCCAGCAAGGCTTAAAGGAAGTGAAACGGCTTCATCGCTTCATCACGGGATAACGCTGGAGGTTTTGGTTAACTGTGGCAAATGTTCACCACTCATGATAATTGGTTTAATTTTTTTTTTACTTATTCTTTATTAGTTATTTTCTCACATTCCCCTTTACATCCAATAGTACTCCAATTTAGATGAACAGTTTATTTAACGAGGGGTCACAACATGTTTAACCCTTAGATGCCCGAGTGACTGGACCCTACACTCTTCCATAAGTGGGTCAAAAAGGACCCGTATTAGAATAATGTGTTTTTATTAGGGCTGTCAGTCGATTAAAATATTTAATCGCGATTAATCGCAAATTAATCGCACATTTTTTATCTGTTCTAAATGTACCTTAGAGGGATATTTTTCACGTTTTTAATACTCTTATCAACATATGAGTGGACAAATATGCTTTATATGTTTGTTTATTATCATTTGAACAATGACAAATATTCTCATGAATATTAAACACAACAACCTGAACATTACAAATATTCGCCTCAATTCAACCTGGAACCTCTCTCATACAATAAGTGTGTGTGTGTGTGTGTGTGTGTGTGTGTGTGTGTGTGAGAGAATGTTGAGACACTGTGATGGATCGTTTGGAGCAGCTCAAGGCATATATGCTCCAACGTGTGCTGCCTGGACGCTGCAATAATGTTGCGCGTACTATCCGTGCTGAGTGTGCTGACTTTTCGTACAATGTCCCACTGTCTGGCTACCTGCATAAAGTCAAGTGCTCGGCGCAGTTGTCGGCGAAATGTCATTGAAACAGCTCCTTATATCCGTTAGCGCAGCTAGCTAGCACCAGATGCTAACAACACGTAAGGTGTGCCTCGCTCGCGCGAGTCGCGCCACACATACACACTCCCTCCCGGTCCTCCCGATGGCCAGTCCGGGCCTGCCGGTGGGCGTGGAAGTGTGGTCTGCCACAAGCGGGCGGCAGGAGTAGGGCTGTCAGCATCAGCTTGTAGATGGTATTTTACACTCGATGCGCTCTGAAACTACGGCGGCCGAGGACAAAAAATACACATGCGTTAATCGCGTTAAAATAATTAGTGGCGTTAATTTCTTTTTGCGTTAACGCGTTATTAACGCGTTAACTTGACAGCCCTAGTTTTTATGCCATTTTTGTCAAGAAAAATCACTTGTATAATATTTAGTATTATATTTTGGTTCACACTAGAAATATTTAGAAAACATTTTTACATTTAGAAAAAAAAAACGTTTTGAACATATTGATGCAAAGATCTCCACTATTCTGAGACCCTCGCAGTATTCCAGTCCCTTTTCAAAACTCATCTCTCCTCTTGTCTACTCATAGCCCCCCCCCCCCCATCAATCCATGCCGGTTGATCAAGTTTGATAGTCCCATACCCCCCACCCTAACCTTCCCTTATATTGTAAAGCGATGTTGAGTCCTTGAAAAGCCCTATAAAAATACAATGTATTATTACTATTATTATACTGACAGGTATCAGATATAGCTGTGTAAAATAATCTTCCTGAGAGGTGTCACTTGTGATGTAGTCTGTGTGGTCCACAGTGAATGTATTCCTGACAGCAACAGGTGATAAGAATCAAAGGTTCCCACAGGATCCCATAGAAAATGCATGCGGGTCATTTTTGACCCACTTATGGAAAGCTTGGGGTAGAAATACAAAAACTACAATTTCTTAAAATGTAAATTTAAAATGTGAATGGCATGATATCCAAAACATGTTTTTTGAGGAATAGCTGGAATATGAAATGATAAACATTTTTTTTAATTACAAAGATACTTCAAGAAAACCACCTCACCGGGTCAAAAAAGACCCACTTATGCATCTAAGGGTTAAGGTCTCAAATCCTAAAAATTCAACATGAGAATATGAAAAACAAAATGTATAGAAAAATAATTGTGACTTTTAACCTTTGGTAACAGCCACAGGATCAGTGAGTATTCAAGGCATTATTTATACATCAGCTGTAGAAATGCAGTCCATTTGTAAAGCTCAACCCATTTCCAACCCTCTCTCAACACTGTCTTTATTAGTAAACAGAGAGTTAATCAACAACTGCTTTGGTACGAAGCCAGACATCGAACCGTGTGCCACATTTTACAAGTAGGTATTAAACTTTCCTCAGCAGCTGTTCCCGATATATAATGAGACAGAGAGAGCCTGTGAATGTAATGCACTCCGAGCAGGCCGCCAACAAACACTTAAAGAAGACGAAGCGGAGAGAAGGTTAAGACGTTCGCCTTGCTGCGTGTTGGGGCAGTTTGTCTTTGAGACTCACTAAACTGAACTACTATTAATTATAGCAGCATAATATTATCTTAATGCAGTTGTCATATCGATTATCACTAATACGATACATGCTGGATTTAGAAACGCCATCTGCACAGGACGGGGAAGTGAGCTGCTGTCATTTGTCAAGATGTGTCATAATGAATAAAGACAGTTGGTTAAATTTCAATTAAAATCAAACTGGTTTAAGCTTGTACACTGGACTCAAATGACACCAGCGTTTCCCCCAGGGGGGCGTCTTGCCGTCATCTGACGCCCTTATTCAGCTCGGAACTCCCTGAACTCGAGCCGAGGGCGTCCAAAAAAAATAATAATTCGAGAGAAGATCGAGTTTTTATCGCTTGAAATGAGGAAAAGGAAAAAGGACAAGGGCACCTCTCTGTTGGAGGGGCAAAGGAGTCTGCTGGGAATCTTTTCGCCGCCAGCAAAGCGTGTTCCTGTGACGGAAAGTGTACTGCCGGCGAGCCTTGACGGGGGGTGCTAGTGGAGCATGCGCGTGAACTGCGAGCGCCGGAGCCTCGCAGCGGCGAAACTGAGGCTCCGTGGTAAACTGTGGTAACATGAAGAGCCGTTTGGGAGCCGAAAGAGAGCCGGCTCTTCTTAGTGAGTCGAGCCAAATGATCCGGCTCACTAAAAAGAGCCGGAATTCCCATCACTAATGCGTTAAGAGATAGTATCTATAAAAGGGACAGCTCAATTCAAAATTCAAGTCACGTGACACGACGTCACACCCTCCCCTGCTCTCGGGGTGGACGCCCTCTCAGCCTTGGTCTGGCGTAAGTGAGTATTCAAGACATTATTTATACATCAGCTGTAGAAATGCAGTCCATTTGTAAAGCTCAACCCATTTCCAACCCTCTCTCAACACTGTCTTTATTAGTAAACAGAGAGTTAATCAACAACTGCTTTGGTACGAAGTCAGACATCGAACCGTGTGCCACATTTTACAAGTAGGTATTAAACTTTCCTCAGCAGCTGTTCCCGATATATAATGAGACAGAGAGAGCCTGTGAATGTAATGCACTCCGAGCAGGCCGCCAACAAACACTTAAAGAAGACGAAGCGGAGAGAAGGTTAAGACGTTCGCCTTGCTGCGTGTTGGGGCAGTTTGTCTTTGAGACTCACTAAACTGAACTACTATTAATTATAGCAGCATAATATTATCTTAATCCAGTTGTCATATCGATTATCACTAATACGATACATGCTGGATTTAGCAACGCCATCTGCACAGGACGGGGAAGTGAGCTGCTGTCATTTGTCAAGATGTGTCATAATGAATAAAGACAGTTTCAATCTATATCAAACTGGTTTAAGCTTGTGCACTGGACTCAAATGACAACTATTACGAGAACAGCTGAGGCAAGTTAAACCCAAAGGAGATGGAACACGACAATTCATGTTCTTGCCTCATTTACACTCCTGAATTACCAGAATAAAGGATTATATAATATAACTGGTTATAATGCCTCTTTGTAGTATGTCCTGATACGTAGAATGTAAAGTGCATTTTGCCAAGATTACTATGATGTACTTCTGCATTTGCATTTTGGAAGCCAGCATGCTATTCTAGCCGTTTGACCAACATATCTTTGCACAGGGGAAGTATGAGCAAGAGGGTAAAAAGGCAATGTTATGACCAAATAACGCTGCCAGTATTAGTAGACAGGGTGAGGAAGAGGACAAGAAGTCTGAGAGAGTCTGATTACTGCTTCCTGCTCTTCCTCACCCTTTACAAACGGGAACTTCAGCCTGTGATGAAAACAGACCGACTCATTCATTCAGACCTAGGCTCCACGGGAACGAAAACGGGTTGAATCCTCATATTTCTCTTGCGTATAGCCCTTTAAGCTACACGACGCCGTAACGGAAACGTAGAAACAGACCCCGCAAACGACAACGGGTCCAAAGGTGGATAGATCTGGGAACGGAGCGCTCTGGGGGGTCCAATGGGGCCGTGGGGTCGCCTATACGGTCATTCATTTCTGATAATGACGACGCAATAGCCCTGCCTCTCCCCGCCTCTGCTGCTCACCCCCGCAAAAGTACACTGCACACTGAATTCAGATTATTTATCTTTATCTCGATATGGACATAAACGCGAGTGAAGTCTAATCTGACAGGACGGAGACACGCAGCTCCTCCCGCTGTGAAGCAGCGGGAGCAAAACACACACTTCAAGTCAGATCATCACCCTTAGCTATTTTAATTACCTCTCAAACTAAACTAGTTATAAATATGTTCATTTTGACTGTCGGGTTTACTTACTGGATCAGCTGCTGCATGAGGAAGCATGAAGATTTAAACTTTAACACACGTTGACCGGCGAAAAACTCTGCGCGGTTCCCTCCGCCCCCACCGCGGAGAATAAACAGAAGTGCAGCCATGACAACCATTCTTCTTCGCTGCTTTTGTGGAGGAAGTTGCTGCTTTTGTGGAGGAAGTTACAGCGCCACGTACAGGCTCGGCATATGTACTGCAGCTTTTGGAGCAGGTTGGATGTAAACGGAGCCGTCTCGTGGAGCTTGACACAATCCGGTGTATATTGCGTGGGGACGGAAGGTTTTTTGCAGTTGCGTTTGCGTTACTCCGATGCGTTTTGCCGTATGCGTTCCCGTGGAGCCGGGGTCTCAGCTCAAGACACTGGAAACTGTTCCCCGTTGGTCAAAGTTGAACTTTATTTGAATGAAGTGAAGTGTTTAGCCAGCTTAAAGGTTTACTTGACCTTTTATGCAAATATGTCTGCAGCCTCAGGTAAAAGCAAAAAGCAAAAATGGTGATCTCATGAATATTAAGCAGAAAAGCAACTTCAAAGTATTTAAAACAATTCCTTCTAACTTTAATTTTCACTAATTAGTTATTGATCTATCAAACTGATAAACTTAAAATGAGTACAAACAATCGCTTTATGCTAAGTATTGGATCAGTACTTGGTTATCTCTATCTGTGTTTTAATTTGTGTTTTTCTTTTATGTACACAAGTCAAATTCCTCGTACGTGTCAACCTACCTGGTAATAAACGTGATTCTGATTGAATGTAGGTATCAGGAGAGAACATTTGGATCAGTGAGTGAGTCCATGATTGCAGGAGAGTACTGCTGGAAACCTAGATCTAAAACCTAAACACCCGATGGAGGAACTGTGACCCGCCCTCACCTTGATCCACTGCTCGGTGGGGACGCCGCTCAGAGTGATGGTCGTCTCGGCTCTGTCCAGCAGAACCTTCAGCTTGGAGCATGTTGGGTCCTCGCTGGTACAAATACTGATGGGGACCATCCAGCTGGGGCAATCCTCACCTGCCAACGCCAGGCAAAGAGCAGGTGAGAAGATACAACAGCATAGCAGTCAGAAACATACAACTTTATTGATGCTCAGATGGGTTCAGGTGCAGCAGCACAAACACTCAAATATCTACAGATACATGGAGAAAGAAAAGAGGAAATAAGAGAGGTAGATATAGAAGATATACAAGAGCAAGTAAAGACAAAAATACAAGGGAAAAAGATACAGTGTTGCAGAGAGGGATAGTGATAGTATATTAGAAGAAATGGATCTCTGTTTATAGTGTCATTTAATACAAGATTATTACATGGCTTAGTTGAATACTCGATTCTGATTGGCCAATTCAGAACACGTGACACGTTGTTAATCCAGAACAGACAGACCGCTGTCAAGGACTTATTGACCGTTGTTAAGGACGCTCACATCTGCACAAAGAAGTCTGTTCGATTTAACTGTATACAGTTTGGCCGAAACTGGGACAAGAAAACAGCGGAGAAGTAACGGGGCAGAAACCCTCCTTTTTACGCAACGGTCCAGACATAGACATCAAAACATATTCAGTGTGCAGTTCCTTTGGCATTAGGGCAGGGATATCTAGATACTTCCCAAGGTTTGACATAATGAATTGTGCTACTTTTAAAGCAAGCCATGATGTTTTCAAATCTGAAATCAAAAAGGTCCTCAAAAACGCTATCGAAGCAGTTCCTGCCGTTGCCAAGGAGGATCAAGAAAGAGAAAGTAAAAGAGGGTAAAAGACGGAGCGCTGGACGTCAGATAAATCCCCAGAAGAAGGCAGAGAGGAAGTGAACACTAACAGGAACACGGTGTGGGCTCTGCAGAGTTTAAGGACTTGTTAGTGGATCAGAAACTGTGAACAGAGTTGGCCAGTGCTGCCGTAAAGTTGTTGTCGCAGTTCCAGCCGTTGGTGCGCCGTGGAACGGAGTTTTTCTTTTTCTTAGCGGAAGAAATACGATCATTTTAAGTCAATAAAATCATTTCAATTAATATTGGGAGTCGAGTCGTTAGTTTGTTTAGTATCTGGCCATGTAATCTGTAATAAGCGGGATAATGTGTCGGGTGTTCTTCTCCCCATAAGGACCGCCTCGCTGCACATCATCCCTTACGTAAAACACTGACATAATAGCAGTAGTCATAAAGAGGATAGGGTGAATTGTAGTACTATAGTCTAAACATGTATAGTACAGTAGCCATAGAATTTCAAATGTAACATGAGTTTAGTACAGTATCAAATAAATAATGATAGTTCTATATGTAATTGAATATAGAGTTTAACCCCGTGTTCGGTGTTTTATGCAAATCATTTGAGTCTAAGAAACACTTTGTGGTGACTGTGTACTCACCGCTGTGTGGTCCACTGGCACAGAACTTCTTCTGAGATAACTTCACAATGCGGTCGTCTCCTTGCTGCAAACAAACGTCTCGGTTAGTTTGTGTAAAAAGAATAATCAAGAAATGCTTCAAAATTAGAACAAGCCACCAGACAAACTCTTTATCACCCCTCTCTGATCAGCATGTCATGTGCTGCCCTGGTCCTGCCTGATGCACACCTTTTTATTCACTTTTTGCTGTATATTTATGATCTTTTTGATTTACACATGACATCTATTAAACATCTGTCCGTCCTGTGAGAAGGATCCCTCATATGTTGCTCTCCTTTAGGATTTAAAGCATTTCCCCCACACTAATTGTTGGGTTTCTTTGGGAGTTTTTCCTTCTTACTGCAAGGGTCAAAGGGCAGATGGGGTCATGGCTACACACTGTAAAGCCCCCGAGACATACAGTATGTGTCATATCTGGCTTGCAGGAGCCAACATTTCTTATATCAAATATGGTGAATTGTTTCTTTTTTGCCCAATTATATATTCAGTTGATTCCCTTTATTGTGCTTCAGGTTAACCTTATGGATTTATTATTATATTTGTTTTACAAGAGGCCGATATGGAGTCTACAGCCCTTTGTTTGGACTGCAATCAAAGGCACGTCTAACTCCATGCATCATACCTGGAGTCTCAAGGCAAGTTGGGTGATTGGATTACCTCAACAGGGCTATATCAATACAATTGTATTGGTTGATTGCTAGTAAAACATTTGTTTTTAGATTAGATTTAGATTAAACTGTATTGTCATTGTGCAAAGTACAGGTACAAGCCAATGGAATGCAGTTAGTATCCAACCAGAAATGCAAGATGTGCTATATATAAATAAAAACAAGGTGCATATTATAATTACTGTTTGGTAACTAGGAAAGAGGTATCGTAGATAGATTACAACACAGACAAACAATCCAGCACCAGTCACTTTTACGCTGCTATGGACAATTTTGCACTCCCGTTTGCACTATGCACATCAGGGCTATTCAATTAGTTTGGAATGGGGCCGGTTGATGAAAATGATCCAAAGCAAGGGGTCGGGAAAAAGATGGCTTGAAATATGAGCAATCATATTAAGAGCTTCAGATACAGTAAATACTACAACAGCATAGTGGAGTGCATATATTGTGTTTAATTCAATCAAACAACATAGCTCCAAGGCCTTTCTAGATCGTTCAGAACTCAGTAGGCCTACATGTGAAGCTAACATCCTTTAATCTGATTTAATTTAGGTGAAATGATCTAATCATTCACGCAGAGATGCAATACACTACAGTAGCTAGTAGGTGGGTTTGAAACCCGAGCCCGCCGAAGTTTTCAGGCAATGTCTTCCCCTCTATCTCTCAATTTAACACCCTCTCTGGAATAAAGGCACAACAAGTAGATTACTTTTTAACATTATACTCAAAGGGCCAGTCAATATCACCCCGGGGCCGGATTTGGATCATCTTTTTTATATATATCCTGCTTACTTGAAGTAAACGGTTATTTTGTGTTTTTTTTGTAAATTATTGAGTGAGTTTTTTTATACCTCGGGACTGTGGGAAACAGTATTTCGATCTTTCTGTGTGTACAAACATATATTTTGAGATTGACAATAAAGTTGACTTTGACTTATTGCCTCAAACCAGCAGTTCAGTTTGTTCAGTGAACACTGATGAATATTGAGAGCGTTTGCCCCAAGCCCCCAGGAAGTGCGTCGGACTCTGAGGAAAATATTCGTTGTGGCCAAACGGCGGTACTACACTTCCGTATCCGTCGCTGGGCCCGGAAAGACTTTTTCCCCATTGACTAACATGGGGAAAGAGACGTCTGTGAATCGTTGGATAATTTTTTTTAAACTAAATAAACTACCCAGTATGAACACTTGTATAGCCCTTATTAAAAACATTCGGTCCTCAAGTTGTAAAATGTGCTAATAACGTTATTCTGAGTTATTTTCCTTGGCATTATGAACGCGCATCTAACCCACGGGACCGCGCCGCCCGGCACGTTCATGTTACGTGTTCAGTACTACATGCGTTTACCTTTACCCATGGATGCACAATAACAACGGATTATATGATTATATGAATACTTTCGTGACGTTTCGCTCTCTCAAAGGTTGGGCCATTTTGTCTTCATGCGCCAATGAGCAACTCTCATAGGAATGAACGAGACCCCGCCTCCCACGCTGTATCCAGTTCTTATTATACATCCATGGTTTGCCCTCATGCAGGTGAAACAGCTCGTGTCCAGTGACGCTCACCTGCTCCTCTTCCACTTCTATAATGGGGAAGCCCATCTGCTTGGTCCACGAGCTCATGACTTCAGCGATGGGTTTTCCACTGGCCTGTTCCAGACAGTCCCATAGGTCCTCTGTGGACAAACAGACACGCGTCAAAGGGATTAGGACACTTAGAAACCGATTCACGCGGCAGTTTCAAATTTGAGTTAATTATTTTCTTACCTGTGCAAGCATTTTTATGTTGGAACTTCAACAGGTAGGCGTTCATTCCTTTCCTAAAGTCCTGGAAAAGAGAGCGTAAGAGGTGAACCTTGATGAAGAGAATACCAGAGAGAATATCAAAGTGCTGGAGAACAAACCTCGTCTCCTGTGTAGTCGTGCAGCATGCGGATCACAGACGCTCCTTTGCTGTAGGAGATGGCGTCGAAGATTTCATCCACCTCTGACGGGTGGCCCACGTTCACCTGGAGCACAAAACATCATAAATAAATAAACAGAAATCAGATGTTGGTTCAACAAACACAACTATTTATAAGATATATTGCCATTTTAATGTAATAATGTCTGTATCAGTGTCTTTGTCTCTGAACCATTATACAGTGTTTTATTTGCCATATAAAACAAATAAAAAAAACATCTTTCATTCAAAAATACATCTTAAATAGGAAAAACCATTCAGTGTGTTTACTCTGGACCCGATCAAGTTTGTGTAGTAGGAGATTGCAAACCTTTTTACAGTTGTGTACCGTATTATATACCTTGTTATACAACCTCAATAAATAATACAACTTCCAAAATAATCCATGTGTGTTGTATTTTGCAAACATTATTACATACAAATAAAGTAAAAATTAGATGTATTGTGATGAAGTTATCACAAATCATTATCACTATTTGCAACGAGTAGGAGACTTTTTTCCGAACAGACTATGAAGCGACTAATACCAAAGGCAGACACTAAGAGGCTTCATTAGTCTTTAACTGTGACGCACTTAAAAGGACACACTCATGCTGAAGTCGTTTCAAGATGTTGAAATAAATGAAATAATAAAAGCAATCTCTACAGCAGCACCTGACAATCCTCACAAACTGAGTCATAAAAAACGGCCATATATCTGAACAGGCCAACACACCCAGGTGACGCTGGCCGGAAGTGATACAAAACAAATATAACGTGACTATTTTTTATTTGTATGCTATTATATATATGTTGCATTGTTGGAGGAGCTCAGGTCAGAAGAATGTCATTGCCATTTCTACACTGTAGCTTATGACAATAAAACCTTTGAATCTTGAAATAATGATAGTTACTAAGCTTGGGTCTGTTATTTTGTTTCTGAGCACTTTTTAATAAGGTGAATCTGAATGTCACCTCGATGGGATGGCTGCTGTCCAGAGCGTCCAGGTCCAGAGCGCGGGTGTAGTCTGCGGAGACAAACTGGGTCCAGATGTCGTACTCTGGGAAGCAGTGGTCCACACACAGATACTCGATCCAAGACGCAAAGCCCTCGTTGAGCCACAGATGGGTCCACCATTCCTGATGAAACACACAAGAAGGCAGGGTGTCTTCAAAGACCTTCAAAATAGTTCCCTTCGTAAAATATGATCTCATACATTACCAAGGTTTTTAACGTGTATTACATTGTCCCTATTTCAGAAATATTACACGGCACAGTTTAGGCATGGGTAATTGATTGAATATATCGGGTATCAACGATTTGCTGAGTACACCAGTTGTTGTTTTTGTCAGTTTATTTGGCAAGTTATTGGTTTGCATTTGACTGTACGGTGAGGAAAATCGATATAAGAATATTCACCTTTTTGATAATTTGTGAGTTTATTTATTAGACTAAAAGGGCAAAAAGAGCTTGTGTAATGAAGCTCACTACCCTTTTGAACAGCTTTACACACAATTTAACATTAGTGCCCAAGCCTAACACAAGTTATTATAATATAGACTTTTGAAAATAGGTCTTCTTCAGTTATGAAATGTAAACAAAATTAAAAAAGGTAGTAAGTAAAATGGTTTCTCTATTTTAAACACATTATTTTACATGTTATTATAAACTTAAAGGTCACCTATCATGCTATTTTTAGGCAATAGCATAGGTCTCAGATATATACAAATATATAAAAAACATGTCTACGAAGTGTTTTGCTCAAAATACCAAACAGATCACCCATTCTAGCCATGCCTCATATCCCTCTATTTCACTACCTGTTTCAAAAGTGCTGATTTGGGGTATAAAGCTTAACAAAATTATTGTTTTATTATTTCTGAAACAGTATGGAGCTCAAAGGCTTTCTCTCTTGCCGGTTATACCACAAGGTGAGTTCCTTTTTATTTCCTGCTTCTTCACACACATGCTCTCCAGTACAGGTTAGCTCTGAGTGTTAGCGATGCTAATGTAAACACCGACCATATTACGTCCAAAACAGTCGGCATTGTTTCTGATAGCAACGTTTCTGATAGGGCCGTGGGTCCACATTTCAGATATTACGTCATATCAGACGCAAATCTGGATCAGCTCTGTTGTAGCCCCGTTTTTTTAGATTTGGGTACGGAGGAAAAGAGAGGGTTTTATTTTCTGACGCTGCGTGAGTTCCCCGACACACCGGGGACACATCTTTATGTATAGAAGACATCAAAAAGTGCATTTTGCATGATAGGTCCCCTTTTAGTCTTTCAGTGATTACTCTAGTTTTTTTTATTATATATTTTGTTTTCATGCCAGTTCAATAATATACTTTCATGTTCAAAGCCTCTAAAAAGATGTACATGTATAAGTGAGCCTTACCATGGTGACCAAGTTTCCGAACCACTGGTGAGCGAGTTCGTGTCCGACCACCAGCGCCACCCACTGCCTGGAGGACGAGCAGGAGTTCTTGGGGTCGATCAGCAGAGCCGTCTCCCTGGAAGAAAACAACAAGAGAGTGGAGGTTAACATGGAGACCGGCTGAAGGTCGACGGCTCCTCTGGACGTCAAACACCCAGAGTGCACTTCAGCTGTTGCCATGTTTATTAAGAGAGGCAGGAGGCAGTAGATGCTAATCCCTTTCCATCTGAACACCTAACAGGTGGTGCAGCTAACCAGGAAGCAATTAAAAACCCATCAGAGCTGCCACCCAATAAGACACACGTGCACAAATAACTGATTTCCCTGCAAGATAAAAAAAGAATCTGCTGCTTTCTCAATGAGACACGGAGCTGCACAACTACAGATTAGAGTTGAATTAAAACAAAAGTTCCACGTGGAGTTTTTGGATAATTGTCCTATGATTCATGATAAACACATAGCTCTGTAACACGTCAGAAAGTAGCAAAATAACATATCCCATATATACATTTACAAATGTTAGAGAATAAGTAGAATTGGGGATGAAACGCTCTTTAAATGGTCACATGCAGAGCACACAGTGAAATGTGTTCTCTGCTTTTAACCCATCCTAGTACCAGGAGTCTAGTACTAGGAGTAGTGAGTGGGCAGCTATTGTACAGCGCCCGGGGAGCAATGGGAGTGAGGGGGGAAGGGGGATGTCCGGTGCCTTGCTCAAGGGCACCACGGCAGGGCAGGAGGTGAACTGGGATCAACGGTACTAGAATAAATATCATTGACAGTTTGTCATGATACAAAACAGAACAAAGTCTGAAAAATCTCATGTTAATACATTTTGTTATCAAAGAGGCTGTCGATTAATTATCCGTTAGCCTACTTATTAATTAATCACCAAATATTGATTTGTTAATTAAAAAACCGGATTTAGATTTGATAGACTCCGACTTATCTTGACTGACTACTGAAGCAAAGATTAAAGACTGTATTGACTCCCTTTATCTACAGATAACATTAGCGGTCTAATGACTTTGTGTTGTCATACTTTAGTGCCAATAGGCTAGTATTACATGAGAACTCATTATGAAACTAATATTTGAATTACTGTTACTCAAGATTACGTTAAACAGAATCAACTTGATAGTTATTTTTCAATTCAACGACAATGGCTTAATACGCTAGGGCTGTGCACTTGCAGTCTGTTGAATAAATCCATAGAAACACGTTACAAGGGAAGCTTAAGTTGCCGTGTCTTTATGCTCCGGTCTCTAGCGTACGGTCAACTTTAACTAACTCGTCAAGCCGGAGACTCTTAGCTACTTCCGGTTTCTGGGTAAGGGGTTACCAAAATAAGAGTACTGCGTGTAGCAGTATAATTAAACATTACAGGTTGTGAGTGACATTAGTTATCATATTTATATATGTTTAGTAGGTTGTGGAAGTGCGGTCCAAAATATTTGTTGATTTTTATTGGTATTTATTATTTATTTAAATGTAAAATGTGTTTTATTTGTATTGGTTTTTCAGTTGAATTATACGTTCAGGTTAATCAACTGTTAAAAACACTATTCAAATTATTATTATTTTCTTTCTTTTAAAGTTCAATAAATTGATGTTTTCAAAGTCAATGGATATCGTATTTAATAATCGTGATATTAATATTGACCAAAAATAATTGTGATTATGATTTTTGCCATAATCGAGCAGCCCTATAATAAGCTAAACTATGGTTGAATTGGAAGCATTCATTTCTTCTCTTTAGTTACTATAATGGATCAATCATTTTTACAAGGTGAGTAAAAGAGGAATGAAAGTGTACCTGTAAGTCACAAGGCCCCAGTTCTCCATGGCACCTGAGAGGGAGGAAGACGCATGCATTTTAGTTTCAACTTTTTTTTGTGGAAATGATGAAAAATGACTGAATATTCAATTGAAAGCTACTCACCAGCAGCAAAATCAGCAATGGCTATTAGATCGATTTTAGGCAGTGGATAAGGAACATTGAAGTAGTCATTGTAGAAAGGTAAGGTCTTAGTAGCAACCTGCAAAAAACACACAAAGCCGTGTTAAAAATAAGATGTCACAAGGACACAAAGGGATAGGCGGATTCAACAATTCAGGATATAATTAACCGTCAAATGCTGGCACACATTTCAGTTAACTGTCTATGTCTCTACATCTCTAAATCATATTTGTATAATTCTTAGAGCAAAGGTGAAACCAGCAAGCTCAATTGTCAAAATTCTCACCTCCAGCGCAAACTTCCCTTGTTCTGACTTCCCGACAGGCGTGTAGACGCGTACCGTGATGCCGTCCGATGACTGGGCCTCCACAAAATCATATTCACCGATCACAAAAGCTACAAGGTACGTGGACATGATGGGCGTGGTGGCAAACTTCACTTCCACCAGGTTCTCATCCTCTAGATATGGATTTCGCTCAATGACATTCTGCAAAAGGGAGAGAATAGATTCAAGATTCAAAGGTCTTAATGTCATAAGCTAACGTGTAGAAATGGCAATGAAAATCTTATGACCCGAGCTCCTCCAACGATGCGACAAATATAATAAAAAAAATATACAAATAAGAAATAGCATGGAAAAAG